ATTCCCCCTCTCGATGCTCTCAAAGAGCTCCATGTAGCTCAAGTCCAGCTCCCCCCCAGCCACACACTCCTCGGGCAGCTGGAAGAAGATCCTCTCCAACCTCCCCTCCCTCTCGATCTCGATGTTCGCCATCCTCTCCCTAAAGAATGCTCCTGCCTTCTCCGTCTGCTTGATCGCCATCCTGATCACTCCGGTGCGATCAAACGCCACCAGGAACGACATGACGAGAAAGTAGCTGATTCCCTCCTTCACAAGCTCCGCCTCCGAGAGTCCGGTCTTCTCTTGCAGCATGTCGTAGCAGTGAGTGGTTTGCTGCACGATTCCGCTCCACTGCAGGGTAGTGATCATCCGGGCAGGGATGACGTCATCCTGGACGCCCTCCAGGAAGGCGTTGAGACAAGTCGACATGGCGACCTTGAGCCGCGTCCTCATCAGGTTCCTGACCCTCACCGCCTGCGGGCTCCTGTCGGGCGACTGAGAACTGCTCGAGCAAGTCTCGAAGAAGACGCGGGAGAAGATGCGATCCACGAGGTCGAAGAAGTCAGCGGTCGACAGCTCCCACTGGTTGTCGAGGTTGGGGCCGTACATGGCGTCAGCGATCATCATGAACGCGCGGATTATCCCCTCCACCTCGTAGACGTTGGCAGACGCAATGAGAGAGTTGATGTCCTGAGAGAGGGTTCAGACATGAGGAGAGGAAGAACGAGGGAGGGAGGAGAGATGGAGGGAGAACGAGGGAGGGAGGAGGGCGAGAGGGAGAACGAGGGAGGGAGGAGAGAGGGAGAGGAGGGAGGACCAGGATCCATGAAAACTTTTGAGGAAACTAGCTGAGTACGAGGTTGGGTTCGGGGATGGGAAGGGAGACATTGGGATTGCTCTTGGGATTGAGGGAATTGAATTTTGTGTGGCTCTGATACATTTTGCTGTTAGAGTCTTCTTGTGAGTTCTTCAACTCATTCAATTAAGATTCTTCATTGATCGTCGTTAGTCCATCCTTACTCATGAAAGAGGCTTGCTCGGCTCAATCAAGTTAGATGGGTTTTGTTGGATGTTTTGGATGCTTCTCTAGAAAGAAGGTTGCCCCGGAGGAGCTCTCTGAAGGAAACGAGTTGCCCAATGCTTTTCCAACTGAACAGAGACATGTCGAGCAGCATGATCCTCCGGATGACCGTACGGACCAGAACCATATAACGGAGAAGAAGCAGAGGGAGCGGGAAAAGCAGCAGGAGCAGAAGGAGGAGCAGGTGCGGGAGAAGGAGCAGGGGAACAGTAAAGAGGAGCTAGTGCGGGAGCAGGACCGGGAGCAGGACATCGAGGTGTTTTTGGACGACAACAAACTTTCAAAGAACTCAGAGTTGATAGCAAACAAACTTGAGCCCATGCAGGACATACAAGAGCTGAAAGAGGAATACCTCCTGCATAAGATTTCTACCATAGGTGGTGAGTCACAGGCGGAAAGAGAGCGCAAGGAGACAATTCTTTTGTGTCATAGTCGATGCCGTCTTGCAGTCAAGTCGACAAGATTCCAAGTTGTCACTGAGAAACGGCCCAACACTCTATCAGGCCGCTCGGAAGTCTTTCGGCATGCAGTCAGATGTATTGTCTTAGTGGACTACCATGCCACCAAGTCTGTTGACTTCGAGGCTTCCCTGAGTTTCATCAAGGTGCTGAGAAAGCCTGTCTTTGCGACGAAGTTAGACTCTTACTTCAACCCTACTGGATCTGTCGCTGCAATCTGTAAAGCCTACGGTACTTGGTTCAACTCGTGGGACGAGCTGGCAAAGGAGCTCAAAGTGGCTGACAGCTTTACGTTTGAGGATGCAGACACTGTGGAAAAGGAGAATTCATTCGAAGAAACCAAGGCTGGAGAATCGCCGGAGAGCGAGAAGAACGAGGAGCTTGAGCAGAGACACGATCTTTTCTTCTCTGCTTGCGAGGACGAGGGAAGATTGATTGCCAAACATCTAGAGCAAGATGTGCTGGTGCAGGGTTTGTTCTCGCACATTCAAAGGAGCACTGGGCACATGGATCGAGACATGGACCTGATCAAGAGGTCGAAGCTCGTGGTCTTCGTCATCACAGAAGGAACCGCCTGGTCCTCCCTGCAGCTCATCCACCTGGAGGCTGCTCGGAGCTGGAAGAGGCAACTTCTGCCCATCAAGCGGGAAGGAGTGCCTTTGGGTGACGGTTGGCTCAGCCTAGCGTTAGCTGGAAAGCTCTACTACGAGATCGATCCCTCCGACCTGAGCAAACTTCGAGTGCCGTTCAAGGAGAACCCAAACTCTCCCATCCGGATCGCCGACTCCACACCAGCGATTGAGATGCTGAGAGCTGCACAAGCTCTCATGCTGTTGGCCAACCGCAAAGTCATCGATTACGATCATCTCTTTGAGGAGCGCAACGAGCAGATTGTCTCTATCTACAAGCAGGAGGCGCTTGCGGCGGGCGTGAAGGAGGAAGAGGCAGAAACAATCTGTAATCATCTGGACGTGTCACCAGCTTCGAGTGTCCTGGAGGAAGCGAATGCTGCTGCATCTGTGACGGAAGAGCAGGTTTCTGGTTTCCCTCCCGCTGTAGAACTTCTTCCTGCTCAACAAGCGCTTCAGATGACCGATATTCGTTACACCATCACCCGCTTGGAGCACGTTCCTCCCCAAGAAGTCTGCGATGAGTTTGGCATTCCGATCCCAGGCCTCATGTTTGACCTGATGATCTCCTACGAGTGGGGCAGCCAAGAGCAAGCGATTGACTACTTCTTCCAGCTGCGCATGCAGAACGTCAAGCTCTGGTTCGATGTGATGGGGAACATGCAAGGGAACATGAACGCAGCCATGGCGGCGGCTGTTGAGAGTGCCGCCTGTCTCTTGGTCCTGCTTTCAGAGCGCTATGAGAAGTCCATCAACTGTCGCCTGGAGCTGGAATATGCTGTGAGCATCAACAAGCCCATCGTCTTCCTCTGCCTCCCAAGCTACGACGTGCTCTCTATGGCCGGCTGGATCAAGGAGATCATCGGAGAGCCGATGCAGGTGTATCCTGCTGCCGAGGGCTCAGCCGAGGTTGCCTCCAAGTACCTCGTGCTTCAAGGATCTGCTCCTTCTGTTCGCGGCGTTCCCCTGCCGAATGTCATAGCCACTGCTGTCCGCCGCCTCGCACAGCTGAGAAACAGTCGGACCCGTCCGTGCCGAGACGCCACGCCCCTCCTCTTCCTCAAGACGCGGGCGCTGATCTCAGCAGCTGCGAGCGCGTCGGAGACGTCGGGGATGGTCGTATGCTCGCGGTGCAAGACTCTCTTCAACCCCCTGGTGTCTTCGGAGGGGAAGTGCCGCAAACACTCGAGCTACTACATGGGCGGGACGATCATGGCTGGTCGGTGGGTGTGCTGCAACGACAACGACAAGGACGGTCCTGGTTGTACGCCATGCTCGCACATGGCTGAAGCGAGGACATGGACGTTGATGCAAGGGTATGGCACGCATACTTGGGAACCTGCTTAGCAAAAAGGTGACAGGAAGCACAACCACCCTGCATGTAATGACGTAGCAGTATCAAGTTAACTTGTTGTAATGTTTTCCATGTTATGTAAAGGTGATTAGGTAGAAAGTTGATATCAATCGTAACTTCCGGCGACATTGCGGCATCGCCCATGTTGTTTGGTATCAAGGTGCTCCAGCGGTAAACATCAAGACTTGAAAGAGCGATATGAATTAAGATAGAAATAATTCACATGTGTTGAGACGAATAATAAGAGAAGAACACACAATGCAAGATCGCATCAGAAGCAATCTAACACTTGAAAATCTTTAATGACATCTCCCACTAATATACAAGAAAAACTCAAACCCACACGCTCATTTCTTTCTGCTTTCAAAACTCACCCGGCGAGTGGCCATAAAGAGGCCAATAACTGTAAAGCTGTAAGAGCCGAAGAGGGACGGGCGGGGGCAGGCAGAGAAGTCGGACAAAGAAAGCAGCAGCAAGCTAAGACAGGGAGAGAAAAGAGTATCTTACGGATCTCTGCTGAGATAAAGTAGCGGAGCTGACGCATTAGGCGCGAATGGGTTGTACAGGGCATCACACGTGAAAGGATCTAAAGCGACGTGAGTGGTTAACCAGCAGGAGAGAAAGGAAGGGCAGAAATAAGCAAGAAGGAGGGTGAGAGGGAGGGGAAAGGGAGGGAGGGAGAGAGCGGACGATCAGTGAAAGAGTGTGGCTCACTAGGTGTGAAAGCCTCCTCTGCCAATAAGATGCCCAACATCCTGACATTCAGCTCGGCATAGTATAAGGTGTCAAAGTCTTCAACTTGCCCCAGCTCTTCGACCACCTGCATCGTGACCATGTCAGGTCGCAGAGCAGGGAAGCCCAGACCAACATGCTGAGACGGGTCTTGCATCTTAAAGTCGATGTAGTTGTTGTAGGCGTCCTGGAAAGTCTCATTCCCTGGCTTTCCGTCGATCCACTTCTTCTCCAGCCCTCGTCTCCGCGTCGGTTGACCCGGTCGCCGCGCGTCGATGTCAAGTCCCTGTCACGCTCTTGAGGCACTGAGAGCAGTTGGAGCAGGTTGGCAACGGCACCTTCTCACGCACGTACTTCTTGACCCTGACAAGGCTGTGCTCGTCGTAGAGACTCTTTGCCTGCCACATGAAATCTTCCATCTACCGCGGGGTCACTCACAATCAGCTTCATGTCTGAGTCCTTACGATGGCGCGCGCCATGTAAGCGTCATTATACTGCGACTCGTTTGCAAGGATCGAGATGTTGCAGCTGCAGGTCTGTCCGAAAGTTCCTGTCAAAACGAGTTTAGCACAAGACACTCTTTGATAGATTGTGAGTAAAATTCACCTTTGGGGATCTTTGTGAAATCCAAATTTCCGTCTTGAATGCAAGGCAAAGGACAGTAGCCCTGTTTGAAGATTTCGTAGATTCTTCCAAACCTGGATCAAATTTAAAGGAATTGTCTCTCTCTGCTTCATCGCACCTGTTACAGAGTCTGTCTGGAAGTTGCAACGAGAAATCTGAAATGGTCAAGTCCACATCTATCGGGTTCGGTGAGATAGCTGCTCCGCACGCCTGGTTGCCTGCCCGATGATTTAGATGAAGTTGAAGGCAGATGGAAGCACAGAGGGGAGGGGATGAGAAGAAAGAGAGAGATAGAGGAAACAGAAGGAAGAGAGGAGGGGGGGACGAAGAGATAGAAGAGATATGGAGGGAGGGTGCAAGCAAGAGAGAAGATGGCCAGCATGGGTATGAGGAATGTGGGAGGCATTACCGATGAGCTGAGAGATCGAATTTGGTGGACAACATTCTAGAACGCCTGTTGAGAACTTTACAGACAACTTGCCCTGAGATCCATTTCGGGGTACCGTTTGCAGGATTCGCTCTAGTTGTCAACCCCAAGTTTGTCCATGAATACTGATGACTCATGAGTTCTGAAGTCTGGTTGCCAGGCTTTACAACACAAGACTGATTTCGAATCAAGTCGTTCAACTACAGACAGTCATTGCATCATGTAATCCAATAAATCACCGTCATACCAGAGGGCAAAAAATGCATTCTCCCGTCCGTGGAGACGTTACCTGCATTGCTTTAGAAACATCAAAAACCATAATATTTACATATCCGCTCGCTTCGCATGGTTTCTGTAAACACAAACCAGTCTTGTTATCTAGTCCCCACTGGCATCCATTGTTGTTCACGAGCTCCGCAGCAATGTCGCATTTGGATCCAAACTGACAAAATTTTCATGATCGCTGAGAGGATGAGACGAAGCCAAACCTTGTCGCCTCTCACGGACATGGAAAGCTACAAGGTTGGATCAGATGATCTCAATCAACATCTAAATGCATTCACACCCATCCAGCACCATTCTGAGGTATGTACTCGGAATCCTCGAGTTTGGATGCTGTGCCTGCAACCCCCGTCAGAGAAGAACACTGGACGAGAAAGCTTCCTGCGGGCCATTCTTCAGAGATCAGAGGAGCCATCCAGATCTCATCTTCGAGCAGTTGCGAGCGCGACATTCCTGTCCGAGCTCAGGTCTGCCTCAGAGTCTCTAGCAGTACCGCTAATTGATATCGTCAGCTCGTATCTTGTGTTTGTTTTCCACTTCGTCGATGACAAGAGTGCACAATTCGGCTGTCATGGTCAGTTAAGATTTGCGTTCAAGGTTGGACTACCACGCCGCCGCGAGGCTCCACCAGCTTGTGTGCAAAGGAAGAAGTCGTCGAAGATTCGTAAAAATTGTCGTATCTTCATGAAATCAGTCACTTGCTCTCCAGGTTTTTGTACGAGACCCACCTCATATATTGAAACGACGACGCGTAAAATTCGTCATTCGAAAGAAAATCTGAAAGCTCCCCGAACTGTAACCTTCGTCAATTAGGACAAGGTGACGAGAAAAAAATCGATATGCGTTCCTGAATAGCTTCGTAAAGAAATTCAACTGTTGAGGAGCTCGTAGACGTCGATGTCTTGGGAGAAAAGAACTGCAGATTTGTACCCTGCTCGTACACAACGTTCCCTTCGGTGTTGAACAAAGTTCCTCCCTCTACAACTTTCTCGACAGAGAACTGCATAAAGGATTAAGTTGAAGATAAGGCCCCCTCAACCTTGCACGTACCTGCATCTGCGATATGTTGATACCCGGTGTGGTCAAACAGAATAGAAGGGAGTCAAACTGATACAAGGAGGAGGACATCTCAATCTTCGTTATCGTCTTGGTGCCATTCGCCTTGATAGCGCTCACCTGCCATGCGGCGTCATGCCTGAAGGAGTGGGAGCATGCGCACCCTGCACTGTTGATGCCCTTGAGGGTCCCACTCGACAGGTTTGCTGCATCTCAAGCAGAACTGCTGCTGGCAGTAAGCTGAAGCTGTCGGTACAGTGAAGTTGAAAGACTTCCAGGGCTGCAAGGAAAGTTCGTAGCTGCACGCAGATCAGACGAGGAGGTGAAAGTGAAGGCAAGTGGGACTGCAGGACGAGAAATGAAAGAAAAGCAAGGTTGAGCGGAGGCTTTGGAAACGCGAGAGGAAGAGGCAGCCATGAGACCTGATCACTTGCTGGTCCACATTCATCTGAGTCGACGAAGGATGCAAGCAGAAGAAGAGAACGAGGACCACGAGAGGAAGGCGACGAGGAAAGCAGAGCGGGAGAGACATGGCGGGCGGTATGGCGGGAGTAGTAGCAGTTTCTTGGAGAAAAATTGAGCTTTTAAAACTATTTTCCACCGGGGCCGGGCCGATCACCGGGTGGGTATCAGTGACTCGGATTCAATGTCCGACATTACAAGTCCGAGTGACTTGTTCAAGCCCGGCCCAGTACGGACTCACTGACTGGTCAGTGGCCCCCGCCGGCCCGTGCCTAGGTTAGATCTGAGGGGTGGGTGCAGATTGGCTTTTCTAAACTGACGGTTGCAGACAGGGGCGGGGGTCCGAGGTGGCACCGGTGATCAGTAGACTCGGACGACTACTGTAAGTAGTCACTTGATAGCGAGTACCAACCTACCCCACCTACCTGCCCTCGTCCCTCTATCCGAGACTCCCTCCATAGTAACTTCCGTAACGCCGACCTCATCGCGCACTTCCCCACTCTTTCCCTCTTGTCCTTCTCCTCCTCCTGTTAATCCTTCCTCCTGTGCTTTCCTCTCTCGATGCAGAAGCATCGTTGAAAGCCCTCGAGTGGGAGATTCGAAGCCTTAAGCAGAACCTCTCTGCAACCCTAAGCGAGCTCCGCACTCTCAACTCTTCCGTCTCTTCCATGCCGCAGCTGCCCTGGGGCAACCTCATTCTCCCGTACATCTGGTCTCAAATAAACTACAAGGAGTCTTCTGCTACGACATGAGCTGTGTCTCACATTCAGCCTGCAAGGTATGAGGTCTGGGTTGGCCCGCAGGGCTCTTGCCACTCCTGCCGTCAACCAGTGCCAGTGCATCGGAGGTAAGGCTTGTGCATGGGGGGTAGTGCCGGTAGGGCTTGTGCGTGAGGAGGGTAGCGCTAGCTCGAGCCGTGTGTGACGAGCAGGATGGTGCGCAGGGTTCTACCTGGATGTGGGCCCTCCTGCTCCTCCTGCCCATCCGGTCTCATGTCGCCCTTCGCGAGCTCCTCGCTGCTTGATGTTTCTCGGAAGCATCGCAGGAGAGTCATGCTCAGACGTCTGCGCGTCAAAACATCTGACATGCGTCGACGAGGCCCGGCCCGTGATCACCGGCAGTCACTTGGTCACTCTTCTCGCCGCATGGAGCATCACTGTCTCCCAGTATGGCGGCACTGACAGCGTGGACGCCCCATCCTACAACCCCACCACGGGTCAAGCCTTCTACCGTTACGGCTTGCCCGGCAAGTGCAAAGCCACCAATGCAAACACCGTTAGAGTGTGTCGATGCACGTGCGCTGACAACCAGTACGGTAAGCGCCGTCCTTCCTCGCTCACAACCACCTCTCACGCGCCATGCAGGCATGTCAGGCAACTGCTCGTCATGCCCAGCCAACAGTCTGTCGTCCTTTCAAGCTCCGGATCGCTCGAGCTGCATGTGCAACTTCGGTGATACAACTTCTACATGACACTGCGAGCGCTGACGAGGCCATGTGCTGGTGTTGCAGGTTACTTCCTCAATGCGTCGGAAGGAGGCTGCAGCCCCTGCCCAGGTGGCACGTACGCGAGGAGGATGGAGTTTGTCGAGCAAGACTTCGGCAAGGACGGGATCGTGGGATGGCAGGGGACGGATCAAACGTCGAGCTGTGGGGCCTATGGCTCAGTGCTTGGGGGGCTCAACGTGCTGGCCGAGTACTCGAGTGTGACCAAGACGTTCACCGGCTTGTGCCCGCATGGCTTTGTCTACCTCTGGATGAGAGTGGTGCTCATCGACGTGGCTCAGCCCGTGACGCTACGTATGTACGTGAACCGTCAGCTACGTATGTACGTGAACCGTCAGCTACGTATGTACGTGAACCGTCAGCTACGTATGTACGTGAACCGTCAGGAGGTCTGGAACGAGACGATCTCGGCTGTCTTTCCCGTGTCGTCGAGGTGCGGGAGCAGCAATGGGGACGGGCTGATCTCTGGATTTAAGCGATTGTATCACACGGAAGACTACATAGAGGTGGGTATCCGAGTAGACTACGACTACCTGCAAGTGGATGCTTCCATCGCTAAGACGTTCTGGGGGCTCAAGGAAGTTTCTCTCATACTCCAATGCGCGAGCTCGACTTCAGCTGACTGCAGCATGACGAAACCGTTGGAACAGTCATGTTCGGATGTGACAGGAAGCGGAGGGAGATGCACGAGGTCAGGCAACTACCTCTTAGTATGTCCACTACTCCAATGACGCTCTGGGATGGTGGGATGCGGAGTCAAAGTGCAGTAGCATGGGCATTGGAGGACATCCGATCGATGATCTCGCCTACTTCCCGGATGCAGCAACGCAAAGAGCAGTAAAATCGAGTCACTGAGTGTGGGAGGCCCGCGGCGAGTTCAAGCTGAGCCTGCCCGGCCCCGCCCGGCCACTCGGCGGCAGTGACCGGGTGACTCGGCGGTGAGACTGCGTTTCAACGTTTCAAAGTTTCAAAGTTTCAAAGTTTCAAAGTTTCGCTGCTAGTCCGAGGGATCATTTGACGTCAGCATGGCAGAAGCAATGAAGCGACGAAGGTACGAGAAGAGGAGAATATGGTAGAGACGTAGCAGAGACAGCGGAGATAACATACCAGGAAGGCTAAGAGTAGACACGAGCAAGATGCAGAGAGATATGTGTCATAGCTAATCACGGCGTTCTTGTTCTCTAAACTCACCTTGGTGCTTGGATAGGTGATGTTTGCTGCAAGCACTTATCTTTTAGAGGCCATTGTGAGCAAAACTGTTCATATTTTCTCCTCATATTGATACAAAGCTATTTCAGGATTGATTGAAGGCATGCAGTCTGCATTGTTTCCATTATTTGCAGCGTGTGTTGTGTACTTATTCCCCTTGCCATCTTGTGCCATCTCAAAATCTGCATTCGGCAATCTTCCTCCGGCAACAGTTTCACGATTTGTACCTGAAACAAGTCAGACATGGAGAGGAAATGATGCTCTGCGCTTTTCCTCCACGTACGCGCAAGGCACAACAGTGCGAGGATTTCTATGCTCGGATTTTGTGCAAGTGGGGCCCTATGGATCCTTTTCTCCTTTTTGCTGTGTGACCTCTGTGTCGGGCATGTTTGACGGTTCAGGAATTGCTGGTTTCGCTCCTCCTCCGAAGAAAGATCCCAACTCACAGTTCCCTCCTCTTCCTCCTCTCTTCATCAGCCTGGCAAACATCACGGGTCAAGACAGCAGCGCCAGGGATCGCCCTGTTCCAAAACCTGTCTTCTCATTTCTATCATCTCCTGATGCAGCTGAGCTGCAGTTGGGAGGGTATGACGAGACTTCTGTGTCAGGAAGGATGAGATACATTAGCTCACTTTCGAGGTTTGCATACGTGGTTCCCATACAGTCCATGTCGATAGGAAATACTCCCATTCTTATCAAGAACAGCAACGAGCAGCTGGCAAAAAAGTTTCAAGCTGGTGCAATATTGGATAGCGGCACAAGTTGTATTTGCCTCCCTGACAATGACATGCACGGCTATGCTAAACAATCACCATACAAGAATTTCAAGGATTCATGGCAGAAAGAAAGTGGAGCTGACATCGAGATCGTTATGGGAACAGGAAGTAAGACTTTTAGTGTGATGATTCCTTCAAGTGTGTGGCTGCCTGGTATGCAGGAGGTTCAGGGTTGCCTGATGAAAGATTGTCCTAACGATAAAATTATCCTCGGCGACTGGCTGTTTCAGTCGTGGCTCGTGCTCTTTGACTTGGGGCCAACGGCTTCTGGGAGGACACCACGGATAGGCCTGGCTCCTAGGAAAGATGATTACAATGTGGGTAAGAAGTACTTTCTGCATGAACACTCGTCCGGGGTAACAAAAGTGGCGATGAAGCGAGAGAAAGTGACGAAACGGTACAACACTCCTGACCTGCCAGGATACTCAGCATCAAAGGAAGAAGTTCCAGATGTCAAGCTCTCTATCGTTCGAGATCTGTATTATCTTCTCCCCGTAATGGTTGGACATCCAGCACAGCGCTTTGATGTGGTGTTCGACACTGGATCTTCCTTCTTTGGTCTAGTTACTGCTCCTGCTGATTCTGAAGTGGTTCAAGAAGCACTCGTCAAGCTAGGTAAGAATGGCGACGGTAAGCTCAGCAAGCAGCTGCAACGAGAGGTGGATGAAGCTGAGAGCGTCAAGAAGAGACTTGATGCACAGGTGAGAACATGTCCCTGGTCCTCCGATGCTGAGAAAACATTTGCAGGACAATGGACCGCTGCGAGAGAGAAAAATGACTGGCCCTGGGCCAGGGATGGTGTGCTCTAGTTGTTGAGATGGAGTTACTCTTGACGTGAAACGCAGGTCGGGATGGGAGTGATCGGGCTGGTGTGGGGAGTGCTTGTGATCGGAGGCGTTTGTGCCGTCCAGATCGTCAGAAGGCGCCAGCGAAAAGGAGCTGGCGACTGGTTTTGAACAAACATAGATTAGATTCTGTCAAGAGGGGTTGAAAATTGTTTCTAGATGATATAAACTGAAGAAACAAGGATCCAGATGACATAAACCGTAGAACAAATTATTAGGATTGTCATGATAGGTTATTTTGTTTCTACATAAATGGTAGGGGCTTGTTGTTCAAATACTTTACAATCACTCAGATGATGATACACCTCACGCTTGCGGCTAAGAATAACAAAAGAATAGGAGGATGGCAAGTTGAGTCTTCGAGCTTGAAACGAGCGTGCCTTTCGTTCCCGGGCACCTTGTGGTGATTGTGCTTAGAAGTCCAAGATCTCGATCTCGAATTTCAGGTCTGCATTGGGAGGGATGAGGTTGCCTGCCCCGTTTGCTCCGTAAGCATAGTCAGCTGAGCAATGCAAGGTAGCAGTCTGGGCGATGGCTGCGTAAGGCCAGGGACAACGAAAACAAAAACAAACCTGTCCTTTACTCATCTGCTTGATGCCTTCATCCCAGCACTTGATAACTTCTCCTACTCCTGTACAACACGTGTAAGATTTGTCATGAGGCCAGACAGATACCCAAGGTGAAGATGAAGGGCTGATCCCTGTCCTTGGAAGAGTCAAATTTCAATCCGTTGTCTGCTAGATATCCAGTGTAATGCACAGTGACGCTCTGTAAACAGCATCACAGAAGGAGTTCGACCAAATATCAAGCAAGATTAATCAAGAGTACCTTGCCAACAGAAGGAAAAGTTTTTCCATCTCCGGCATGCTTTGTTTCTATGGTGACCCCTGAGAATCTCAGTCAGAGTGTCTGGAAAAACTTTTGCCTACGAAGCCTCACCTCCATGTACAAGATTCACAAGAAAAAGATTTATGAGTAAATAGATGAATGAAACCCCTTGGCTGCAGTGCAATCTGGATACAACCATGGTAAGTAGTCGAAAGGCAATGTCAACACTTGCAAAGTTCTATCCTCCTTCATCATATCGTGCAATGTTGAAGTTCAAACTGCATGCTCACTGTATCACATGATCCTCCCAGTCTTCCTTACACTAATAAAAAATCTGGTTCATGTTGCTTTCTTCGCTTCATTTCTTCCACTGACCGCCTCCGCATTCCCTTCTCGCCGCTTCACCTGCCCATGGCGTCGTAGAACCTAAAGCAAGGCAACGGATACATAACGGTCAGATGTTCGTTACGTCTCTACAACTTTCAAGAGCTAAAAGAAACGTTTCAAAGTTTCCAAACAAGAACTTCAAAACTTTGACTCTTTTAAAACAAAGTTGCGATGTTCAAATTGGCGAGGTAGAACCTATCGAGTGGGGGTAGGGGTTATCCTGATAACCGGTACTGATTGGTAAATCAGAGGGTTCACACTCCAAGCAATCTGTTATTCAAGTAGGGTAGGTGGGTAGTAACGGAACTTTGAAGGATTCAAACCGGAGGACCTTGGATCACCACCCGTGTCACAGAGGGATTTAGAGGGGTGAGGGGTGAGGGGTACTGCAGTAGATCGCGCGCGCTCGATGGCAAGCAAGTGAAGGAGGAGCAAGAGCAAGAGCAAGAGACGAAGGAAGAGAGAGGAAGATCAAGAAGTACTCGGCGAAGTACATATCCTACATTCCTGCGATATTTCAGCGTCATTCATTCCTTGTGAACAAAGTTTTTCGTGAACTCAAGTGTGAGAAAATCAAGAGCAATGGCTCATCATCAGCACGACTCCGCGTCGGCAGCTTCAGGATGTCCTCCAAGTGCACCTGCTGGTGTCACTGTGAGTGAAGCTCAGGAAGGTACAGAAGCTGTTAAAATTTCCTGTTGCGACTTGACGTCATTGTACTTGTGTCTCATTGCTTCCAAGATGTACGAACGTTTCCGTGTTATATATCATGACATTCAAACTACAGAACTGCGAAGGAGTGAGAAGTTCTTTGCCTTTTCCCCGATTCGATTTGTGGACGATGTTTACAACTGCACCTCGCATTATCTGAAGGTATGAATGTCCAAAACTATCGATGACGAACTCACCTCTTGCTCGCTCAGCACGGACTAGATCAAATGGAGAATGTTCTGCTGGAAGATCAAGAAACCAGAATATACTCTGATGATATCAAGAAGGGTGTAACTAGTTTGCACAAGAAGCTTTTCCGCTCCTTGGACAGGAACATCGACAAATTCGAGCTGTACATCATTCGTAACATTCTGAAGATTCCGAAACATCTTGATCTCTCGTCGGACAACAAGGAAATGAATTGGACAGGAGAGTCTGCTGCTGCAGGGGGATCAGTGGAGGATGAGCAGATGTTGGATGAGGTATTCTTTCTCCATCGAAACCATCTGGATCTCTAAAGCATTTGTAGGAACTGAGGGAGCTACGCCGCAAAATTCATTCTGCTCAGTTTGTCAACAGAGCTATGAAAGGAAAGTTAAGCGAGATTGAGAAGCAACTGAAGGACTATCATCAAATCCAAGAAGCGTTCGATGAAATGGACCGCAGGGTCAGATCTTGAATGTCAACATTGGATGTCGCGTCTGACTGTGCATTAGGCCAAGGAAAGTGGAGTCGACACACACCTGGAAGCTGCTGTGCTCGACCTTCTCCAACATGATCCCGAACTGCGAGCCCTGGAGAAACAGTACGCTGCCGTTGAGACGGTGACTGAAAATCTCGCACTGCGCTCGACTCTAAAGCTCCACAAGTTGCAGAGTAAGGATAATGAGAACTGGGGAATGGTTGGGCCAAACATAGATACTTGTTTCACGGAAAACCGAGTCAAGGTATGCTGATTGTGTGGATTTTTGACTTCTGATTTGACAGTATTTGCTTTCAGATGGGTGGCCCGTCAACAAGAACTTTGAACCATCTGCGAGAGATCCTCACTGCCAAGTGATTACTTTTCCTTCCTTGCTTGAAATATTCTAGAGATAATCTACAACCCTGAACTTCAACAGTGTCAAACCTGCAAAGGCAAGAGGAATATTTTGGTTTGTCAACACTATTTGGTCGTTGGAGGGATGTTTGCAATTAAATAAATAAATTGAGCCCAAGCTTCACTTTTAAGTCTCTTTGTGAAAGTTACAGCTCTCATTTCATCTTGCGCACTCATGGGTTCTTGTTGGAAAAGCGCAGGCCAGCAAAAATTTGGATTGAGTCAACAGGTCTTGGAGGTCACCGGGAGTCTCGACCGTTTCTCAACACTCGTTCCAACAAGGAGCTGTGCATATTCAGCCATTCTGAGTACATGTCAGCCATTCTGATGAAGATCGAGCAATCATTCACCACTGGATTCCGTCTCGTAACGTTTCTCGTTTGATCGCAGTTGTTCTAGTTCTTGAAGCGTCAGCTTCAGCCTGTAGTGCATTCGTTGCTTTTCTTGCTCAAGCCTGGCAGCACAAGCATTCAAAGAGCGTTCTGTCTAAATGTTTCAAGCACCCTTGCTTCTCCTGGTTTACATACTGCACTTCGGTGCGCAAGGCATCTGCCAGTTCCTGCAACGACCTTCACGATGTGTACGTCTTTGGTCTCAACTTCTTACCTGATATTGTAATGCCTCGGATTGAGCGCTCCGAACGGCATCCTGCAGATCTGCAATTTTCTGACTCATACTGTTCACTGTTAGAGTGCTGATCGTGCGTGAAGAAAACGTACGCAGATTCTACTTTCTTTTTCTCCTCTTGCTCTCTTACATAGAACGCCTCATACTCCTGTAATCTGTAGACCTGAAGGACAAAAATGAGCTTCCGAACTAGCATAACTTTGCTTGTGCCTGTTTGTGAAGTTCAGAAACTTTTGCTTCATACTCCTTGACTTCTGATTTCCTTGCCTCAAGTTCTTTTTGCATCAAATCTACAGAAAATCTTACTAGTTCACTATCACAATGAGGATTTACCCATCTCATCGCACAAACGCATCTTTTGACTTTGGACTCGTTCGAAATCACCGCGAAGGGAGTCAAAATTCCTTGTAAGATCATCATTTTCCCGCTCCGATCGAGTGAGTTGATCTGAAATCTCCTGTTTCGACCTGGAATTCTCTGTAAAGCTAGTCAAAGATCAATTGAACATGGTGACTTACAGGTTCAGACCGGAGTTTTCGATTCTGAGAATATTCACTTCTCGTTCCACAACATTCAGTTTCCCCTCCAAATTCGTCATTTCTTTGTTTTGATTGTCAATCTTCTTGCATAATTGCGATCTTTCAAGTTCATTGGCATCGATAGTCTTCTGCAGATGATCGAGTTGCTGTAAACTTACTTGCAGTCGTGTGTTGCAATCAGATTTCTCTCTGTTTAGAAGCTCTCTTTCTTCAATCCATGAACGACGCGCACTTTGGAGCTCTTCGTTTTGAATTTGAAGCCTATCTCTTTCTGCTCGATCTTCGAGCAGACTTTTCCTTTCCTCTTGCCATTGATCTGCAGCCTTTCGATGAAGAACAGCATCGCACTGCAGCTGTTCAACAAGTTCTTTTTGGTGCTTGATCTCAGATTGAAGCGAAACAATTCTCTCTTCTATATTCAACTTCTCCTTCATCAATTCCATGTTCTCACTCTTCAAAGCTTTTTCATTCGTGACGTAGGAAGAAATTTCTTCCTCCAGCTCTTTTACTTTCTTCTGGAATTCTTCGCAGTCCTTTCTCAGCTTTACCTGGGAAGAAGAAGCGTGAGCAAGAAGCTCGGACACCTCAGGGTGACATGAGTATACCTCTGATTTCTCGATATTGAGCTTGTCTGCCTTGCAATGATCAAGTTGTTTTGCCAGAGACTCAGCCTGTCGCTGATATTCTTGCATCTTCTGAACCGCTGCATCACAGTCATGCTCAAGAGACTCCTTTTGGAGGAGCCAATGTTTCATCTCGTTGACGTGCTTCTGTTCGGACTCAAACAGCCTCTTGATTTCTTCGGCGGATGAAGCCAATATCGCTTGTAGAGTGCTCTTTTCCCTCTGTAGAAGATCTTTCTCCTGCATCAGCAGCCCGACCTCTTGAAACAGTTGCTCTTCTGACGCTTTTCTCACGGGATCTTGCACTGACGGCGATGCTGCCCAGTCAGACTTGTCTGCAAGCATTCCGCTCTTACTGAGCAGCTTCTGCCGCTCTGATGCCACAACAGCTCGTGCAGACTGGATGGATCGGAGAGCATGCATTTCGTTGGCAGCAGCAGACTTGGTATCGTGCATGAAGCTGAGATCAGTGAGAGGGTGTTGATTTCTCGAGGATTTGAGCACTTGATCGTGCCCGGACATGTTCTGCCATGTTTTCCTGCCCTGCAGTAGCAACGCTTCCTCCTCTTCCTCCTTCATTCTTCTGAGCGGCGACGCCATCCCTCGGTAACCTGGGCCGTCCTCTTAACCCCTCCCCCCTCCCCCCAACAAGTAATGGGAAAGAGGGGTGGTAAACGGAAGGTGCTGCCGTTGGCTGCGGGGTAAGATGCCGGTAAGATGGAACCGGAACAATCTTTGCAGTGGTGAGGTAGGGAAGATACAATCTTTGCAAGTGGTGAGGAAAACGAATGGGAAAGCGAGAGGAGGAAGAAGAGCAGGAGCGAAGAGGAGAAATAGACGTTTGACAAGCATTGGCACACCGACATGTGACAAGGTTGGCAGGCGAAGGGATGTGAGTGACCTCTCATGGTGACAGCGAGCGACATAAGACTCAATGGAAGCTCTGATTGACTCTTTCAGACTTGCGGCTACTCGATTTCAATCTCCATTGCCTTCCGCGTCAAATGTCAAACTCAGCGCAAGACGACGCTGATCTTCCCTTGGAGTCTTTCAAGTCAAAACAAAAGATTGCCTACGCTAACGGAGATGTGTATGAAGGCTCCGTAGAAAGAGGCCTCCGCAGTGGTCGAGGAGTTCTGGTGTGTGAAGATGGGAGGAAGTATCGAGGTCAGTTCTATCAGGACCTGCCGCATGGGCAAGGGGAAGAGAGAACGAGCGACAACGCCGTCTACAGGGGTGAATTTCGAAATGGCCACAGAGATGGAACAGGGACAGAGATGAACGAGCAGGGACACGAATACAGCGGTGAATGGAAAGATGGGATGAGGCATGGTTCAGGAGATTATTTCCAGGACGGCTTGTACTATCAAGGAGAGTGGAAGGAGGGGAACAGGTGACACTCTTCGTTGAATCTTGAAATGGATGTGACGACATGCAGGCATGGTTACGGTGTTTGTATGTTCCAGAACGGGGATCTCTATGAAGGAGAGTTTGTAGCGGATTTGATGGAAGGCAGCGGGTGTATGGTGATGGCGAATGGCAGCAGATATGACGGTGTCTGGAGTGAGCAACTTGAAGTAGGTGCGGTATCATTCATTGACTATTGCTTCGTAGAGGCGGGAAAGATGTCAGGCAAAGGCAAGATGATTTATTCCAACGGAGATGTTTATGAAGGGCTCTGGAGTGATGGCAAGCGAGAAGGGCAAGGAAGTTATTTCTCAGCGGCTACTGAATCTGAGTACGTGGGTGAATTCAAGAAGGGCAAACGACATGGCTATGGGAAGCAGCAGTACGTTGTAGCAGCATGGAGTAACGTCAAGACCTCGCACATACCTTACAAAACATCTCTGAGTGAAACATACGAAGGAGAATGGAGCAGCGGTAGGAAGAATGGATTCGGACGCATCATGGTGAAGTCAAGAAAGGTTTTTGAAGGTCAATTCTCAGGTGATAGCAAGCATGGCGAGGGCATTGAGTTTCTTGACGATGGTACTTGCCTTGTGTTCAGCGATTGTGCCTGACATGCTTGGACGGCAGGCTCTACGTTCAAGAGCTTGTGGAAGGATGGAGTCAGCCAGGGGAAAGGAATCCTCAGGCTCAGTGATGGGACGTGCGTGCGAGGATACTGGGAGGGGGAACATTTCAGAGAGGCCGCGCAGGAGAAGTTCATTCCGCGTGAGGAGATGAAGGAAGCTGAGGAAGCTGACGGCCTCATTGAATTCTTCGAGCGCGGGAAGCAGCGAATCTTGAAAGGTAATCAGCAGCCAGAAGTAGATGCAGGAGTTGCGAAGGCTCCAGACACTCTCAACATGTCAGGGGCCCAGGCTGTCTTGCATGATCGAGCGCTGTTGTCGAGCATGGGAGGGTTGCATGACATCGAGGAAGTGGATGAGGACCAGATGGTTGACTCAGGCAGTCACGGGCCCACCCCCATCCCCAGCAACAACCCTCGCTTGCAGGGGCGAGCGAGCTCTAAGAGCTCTCCCTACTCTCCCCTGCCTGTAGCAGAGGCGAAGTCCAGCTCCACTGCGCCGACCTTTCACGAGGATGTCGTGGACATTGCCAAGCGTTTGGATGTATCCCTTGTTCTCAGCTCCATCAGTCTTTCGCTCATTATGCCGCAGGTTCGCATACGAGGGACGTACGACGAGGAAGGCAACTACCTTCCTCCTGTTTCCATGGAGACCCTTCGAGAGTGGAACGTGGCTAACTTGGAGTATACCAGCAAGCGTGAGGAGCTCAAGGAGAAGGTGATTGTTCCCCGGTTGCTCTTTTCTTCAATCGATGACACTGTCCTTCAGGGAATAAGGGCACCTGATCTCTCTGGAGAGACTTGGCGAGGATCATTTCAGCAGGATAAAGCCAACCTCAGCCTTTCAGGTGCTCCCTCTCTTTCTCCTCTCTCCCTCTCGCTCGTGCTCAGTCAGTCAGTCAGTCAGTCAGTCAGTCAGTCAGTCAGTCAGTTTGTCTGTCTGTCTATCTGTCTGTCTGTCTGTCTGTCTGTCTGTCTGTCTGTCAGTATGTCTGTCACAAACACTCTTTCTCTTACACACACACTTTCTCCATTACTCTCCCTCTGTCTCTCTCTCACTCACTTTGTTCTTTGCGGAATGTCACTAAATTAGCTTATGTCACTAAATTAGCTTATGTCACTAAATTAGCTTATGTCACTAAATTAGCTTATGTCACCTCAGGTGCACTCAAAGCTGCTGCTGGTGAATTTTCGTTTGAGAGGTGGAGGCAAGAGCGAGGGTTAACGTAAAATGTGCTGAAATGAATGAGGGTTAACGTAAAATGTGCTGAAATGAATGAGGGTTAACGTAAAATGTGCTGAAAGGAATGAGGGACAACGTAAAACTTGCTGAAATGAATCAGGGGCTTCGACTCGTTGGCTTTTATTCAAGCTTGATTCCTCGTCCTGCTCACTTGCTCCCTTCCTCGTCGCTAACCTCAACATCGTCGCCGCGCACCTGCCGACGCAACTTGACTGGGAAGCTTGTCGCTTGCAACGAACCTCGAGACTCTTCTGCATCGCGCGTTGAAGTATCTCCTCGACCGTGAGCCGTTCAACAACGTTGCTGCTCGAGCCCAGCAGCGAGTAAGGGATTGACGAGGTGAGAATAGGTTCACCGGTCCTCTCTGCTGGACAGGAGCGGCCTGAAGCGCGGGATGAGAGGTCGTCTCTGCACTGACAGCCGGACTGTCTGTGATTGAGGTCAGAGAAGAAGCCAGGCAGTCATTCGCTTCACTCTCGAGGAGGCAGTTGATGATGTTTGACTCTCCGTTGCATCCGGTCTGCCTTTGACTGGCAGGTTCCTACAGAGCGAGTGAGCGTGAGGAGGGCAACAGCTGACCGACCGCTTGACGCAGTAAATCCTTAAAACCCGATCGTGATCGTGATCCAGTGCTGTCAGAGGCGCCGATGCTATGGCCGAAGACGGGCGATCTTTCTTGGGTTCTGATTCAACGGGAGGGAACTCTTCTTCATGCTTGATCCTCATGCTGGCAGCTTGACGAATACAGGTCAGTCGAGCCGACCAGGTTGCCCTTACCTGAGTACGGTCTTCGCTGTGAAAGGAGCGAGAGTCTTGTGCTTATCGAAGCTTTCTTTGCTGTCTTGTCTTTGCTCCAGATGCGACTCGTCGGTTTCCTGCCCAAGAAGAACATCTCCTTGCACTCCTGGTGAAGTTTGAGACCGCGAGCTTGAAGCTCCTCTCCTCACCGGGTCTGGCACGGCGTCTCGTCTGTATCCTCGGAGATATTCTTGTGGATATCTCAAGCGGGAATAGATGCGGATGGATTTGACGCAAGTAGAGTCCAACCTCCCATGTATGACTTGTGCTCCAACAAGCTCTCTGTGTGCAAGGTCGGCAAGTTTCGAGACTCTGTCACTTCACCTGTTCTCGCACTTGACGGTGGCGATTTCAGTCTCCGTCTGGTCTGCCTGCGTCACCGTGAGCACCATGACCAGCTCCAAGTCATCATCTCACCGTTCCATACCAACAAGACTCGCTTCTTGTTCCAGAGTTGAACGAGAAGGTGAACCTGACTGCAAAAATCCGTTTCTTTCCAATCAGAAACTCCATCTCTTGAACAAATCTTGAAAACAACTCAGTCCTCTACAGGGGTTGGTATTCAGTGCTCACGCATCCGATGGAACGATGAGGAAGAAGAAGGATCCGTTCTTGGGCTTGAGCGTCCAGAACTGCATGTCTTCCAACTCAGACGCGCTGATGCCGTAGAGGAAGTGAATCTGAAGGAGGTCAGAAGAGCAGAGCATGTTCAAGCTCTACATTCTTGAGCGTACGGTCGTGCCATCCGACTTGTATTCTCACAGCCTGCAGCCTGCGGTTTGAGGGGACAAGATACTTGTTGCCCTCGAGTTGTCTCAGATCAAATGGACTCGTCGTCGTTTCCTCATCACTCTCTACTTCTCCTGTTGTCGTTCTGAAAGCATCGCGAGTGACCGGAGGAGGAACGCTGACGACAGCAGCAAGCGAGTAGTCCGCCAGATCGTCGATCTTGTCCTGGGCTGTCATCAGTCGCAGGTTTGACCGCCAGCCGTTTACTCTGAGCTCATGGCGGGTGAGGGGGTCGATGTTGTGATGCAAGACGGCACTGAGAGTCTCGGACTCAAAGAACTCCTGCTGACTCGTCAGACCGCGACCCTCGTCCCCATCCAGACCTTCACAAGGTTATGATCAGCCCCGCACTCGATCAGGATTCTTGAGCATTCTTCTTGCTTGCGCAGGATGCTCCACATGAGCGGAGTCGCTGCTACGTACTTGGTCTTGGCGCCGAATGCTACAGCCAGTCAGACGATGATGGATGAGAGAAAGTCCATGTCAATTGCACTTACATTTCTCTGTAGCGAATGATCCTGTACTCGGAGGGATGAAGATCTGAAGCCATATCGTCAAGCATTCATTACTGCAGTGCATCTTCAGTTCACCGATGACTTTGCGTTTTCTGACATTAGCTTGCTGAACTTTCCAGCCTGACGAGAAATCAAAACTCAGAAACGTGATGGTATCCATGATGTTTTGCGAGTGTAAAGAAGGAGCGACGGGCTCAAAAAGAAGGAGCGACGGGCTCAATGTATGTCCCTTACCTTGAGACAAGCCATGACTAGTCGCTGCCACAAGCGACGAACCTGAACAAGTACGTCAGGCTTGCTGAATAGAGGACGTTAGCTCCATAACGACCTTTCCAAACTCAAGGAGGTTGACGATTCGCATCTTTTGAGGGTCAAGGGCAGCTCCTTGCTTGATGAGCAAGACGACGATGTCTTGGTTGCCATGCATGGCTGCTGCTGTGAGCGGCGCAATGGCGTCAGAACTCATGCCATCGATGTCTGCCTGAGCCTGAACAAGACGCGCCGATAGCTCCCTGCTGATCGTCAGCTGCACGTGGAATGACGATGGGGGTTCACAGGGAGTCGGCGAAGGCTGACAGGAGCATCGGGGTGACGATCGTGTCGAGATCCACCAGGAGAAACTTAGTCTTCGCGCTCGCTTCCTCCAGCCCAACCAGCTCGGGGTACTCCTCCTCGCAGCTCAGCCACCGCATTATCTCATGCGGGATGTTGGCGCGATGGTTGGGGTCGGCGCCCTGCTGGCTTGTCATGAAGGTTCATCAGCAGCCCAGCAAACCTGAGAGAGGAGGAAATTTGAAACTTGGAGGCTGCCGCAGTAGCAGGAGAGCAGCAGCGCGAGATCTTTGAGGGAGCGCAGCTGCTTGAGGCGCACGTTGGTCTTGCTTGCTGCTTCTTGCTCCTCGAAGCCTTCGAACAATGAGGAGGTGACCGGCAAGTCCCCGCGGATGCTGCCAGCGATGAGGGCGAGGGGGATGCCGCTTGCCTCTTGCTTCACGAGGAACTTGAGGCAGTCTGCGTGCCCTCCGATGGCTGCGAGAGCGAGGAGGGGAAGCTCATCGTGCTGGTTCCACTCCTCCTGCTCTGCTGGAAACGCACTGAAGATGAGCGACAAGCCCTGCAGCCACCCGTGTGTCGCCGCCATGCGCACAGCCATCCTGACATGCCCTCGCAGCTCAGCCTCTGCGTCTCTGCCTGTGATCTCGCTGCCCCAATCGCTCCCGCCTGCTCTATTCTGCTCCCCAACCGCGAGCTTCTCGATGAGCGAAGAGACGAGAGCCTGCGATACTTTCGTCCACCCGCGAGCGACGCTGAAGGCAAGAAGGTCGCCATGCTGCTCTTCCACGCAAACAGGTGAGTCTGCCGACCAGCGGAGAACGACGTGAGGAGGATGAAACCTCTGCAGGAGCATCAGCGAAGAGAGAGCAGCAAGCTAGATCACCTGCACAAGATGCTCGCAGACTTGCTGTTGCAGATTCATCGCTGCCACCGCGACCGGCTTAAAAGCTTCTCATTAGCGTGTTCGTCTTCTCGCATGTTTGGGCTCACCTCATTTCCATTCTCATCGGCCACGGAAAAAGCTCCGAGCTCCGTCAGTCTTTCAACGACAGGTAGCCAACCAAGCTGAGCAGCAAGGTGAAGCATGGTCCTGCCCTCTCCCACCTCCAGCCCCAGCTCCAGTTTAAGAGGAGGAGAGGTTCGGAATATGAGAAAGAAGGATTTCACGTATTCGTGAGCTTCATGCGTCGAGAGAGATTTCGAGCAGGAAGTTTGCAAATCAGTGAAGATTTTGAGGAGAGCGAGGAGTTGGCGAGAGAAGGCGGAGGAAGAGACGCAATCCTTTCGCCCTTGAAGTTTCAGAAGAACTTCCACACTGGACCAACGTTGCAAGGAGATGGCTTCATGGCAGACGTCACTGATCAGGTCCCAAGTCTCTTTCTCATTGTCGGCAAACAGCAGGAGAAGCCAAAGCAGGGTTGAGCTGAACGGGATTGCTTCCATCAGCAACGATCGAACTTGATTTTGATCAAACAACCGCCCGACGTGCCTGCTGATGGCGAAGTCACGCGAACCATCTTCAGCTTGTTCTCTTCTTTCCGCTTCAGACTTATTTCTGTCTATCTCTCCTGCCTTTGTTTCTTCAAGGTCCTCAACAGCAAGAGGAACGAGGGAGTCCAGACAGTGGTTGCTCGCAGGCTGCAAGTTTTCCCGTCCCTCCTGCCTCTCGTCAGTCATCAATAGCTTCTGTTTCTCCTGCTCCTTGACAGCTGCGAGCTTGACCGTGTAAATGTCTTCAGGACCCGGAGGACCGAGACGAGATGCAGACAGGATGTGAAAGAGGAAGACGAGGGAGGAGGAGGATGCGCTTCGGATCGCCTCCAGCATCGCAGGATGAAGGAGTGAAACCTCGCGCAAGTCTGGCATGAAGCTCACAAGCAGCTGCAGGCAGTCAATACTGTCACTCCTTGCTGCCATTCGCAGCGCCTGCCTTCCGTTTCGCGCGTCCTGCAGTCTTGAAGAACTTTGTGGATGACTGAGGAGCATGCGGAGTTGCTGGTGGTGTCGCTGAAGGCATGCAAAGGAGACAGGAGGAAGGTCTTCCGCTGCCGCTGCCTCTTCCGGCCCCCGTTCCCACACCAAGTCGAATCTCAAGCTCTCATCGTGCACGAGGACGAGAAAGTTGTCAATGTTTCCACCTTGCATGGCCAAGCAGAGAGGGTGGAGTCGGGCGGCAGGATCGTCACCTTGGATCTCCAGCCCGGCGAGAGCTTCGCGCACACTCAAGTTCGGGTCGCCTGCATGGCGGAGGATCATGGAGAGGAGAGTCGCTTGCTCTGTCTTCACGGCGTATGTAAGGGGAGTTTCCCATTGCCCGTCAATCATGAGCGGAGCGTTGGGGTGTATGCCATGAGCAAGCAGCATCTCGCTCAGAGCTAGAGTCATCTCTCCGCTGCTGCACATGCCTGCTACTGTGCTCCAAGCAGAGTTTCCCTCCTCCTTGTTGACATGGTTGGGATCAGCCTTGGCATTCAACAAGCAGCTCGCTAGCTCCAGCCTCCCGCTTCGCAGGACGTGAGTGAGAGGCGACGCACCGCTCGAATCCCTGTCGTTGACATCAGCACGAAGGCTCAGAAGCATCTCCATGCAGCTGAGCGCGTCTGGATCGTCAAGCAGGCTGGCGAGGACGAGCTGAGAGCTTGTGACAAGCGACTTTGCCGTCTCCACGTCTGTCAAAGGGTAGGATGAGTGTACGGAGAACTGGACTCGAGCAGTATGCGTGGCGGCTGTCCGGATAGTTTTAGAGGGGGCGAGGCTGAACTGCTTGTCGATCAGCTGCTTAGGGTATCGTTGCGTGTCTATAAGCGGAAGCCGGACTTCACAGAGCAGCTCGTCGTGCCCAGACCGATCCCACCGGTAAAGCTGAAAGACAAGCTCGTCCTTTGTTGAAGACGACACTTCGAACTCACAAGAGTCCGTCCATTCCGGGCACAAGGAGTTGCGCATGACCCTCGTCTGCAAGCAACGTGAGCATTCACTCCACTCAAGCCGTCACAAACCTGATGTATCCCCTCGCCGACAGAGATCTTAGCAAGGACATCAGCAGTCCCTCTCGAGTTCATTTGCGGGAGGTCCAGTGCACGCATGTTAGAGACGGTTAGACTCCAAGAGGTGAAAGTTTCCGTTGGCCTGCTGCTGTCGGCACTCTTGTCAGTCAGCATCTTCACTCGTTGTATCAGCATCAGCGCCATTTGCCCCTGCCCCTCTCTCAGGGCGATCTCTATCGCTCCTCGTCCAGATCGATCTTGAACGTCCAGTCTCGCCCCATGATCCAGCAGCTTTCCAAGACAAACGATTGCAGACCCATGTTTCGAAGCGTTCTTGGTTGCATTCTCGATGCAAAGAATAAGCGGAGAAAGGCCGCAGGCGTCCTCTACATTGACTTCCATCCTTTTGTTTTCTAACAGGATCTCTACTACTCCCCATTGACCTTCTTTGATCGCCGCGGTGAGAGGATAGACTCCGTCTTGGTCGCACTTAGAAGGGTCTGTGACCTCCATCAGTCTGCAGACCTCTGCAGCAGCTCCGCTTGCACATGCCAGGACGAGGCTGTGATCGCAATGATGTGCTGAACTTTTTTTGACGAAGAACTTGTTTTTAGACAGCGTAATCATAGAGACATATCCTTTTAGCTTTCCTTGTGCCATTGTTGTTTTCCTTTTAGTCTGATCAAGGCTTTGCAGTACCTCGGTCACGTCCAGATGTCGCGCTCATCATCATCATCAATGAACATCATCATCATCATCCGATTGTTTTGGATCTTGTCAACCGAATCATTTTGTTTTTTTTGGAGCTGATCAATTCGCTGCCGGCCACTACCGTAGTACCGTACTCGGCGGCGCCGGCCGGGCCCGGCGCCGCGGCCCCCCGGCCTGGCGCGCTCGGCGGGCCACTGGCAGGGCCGGGCCGCACTGACCGGTGTATTGCCATGGCGTACTACGGTAACTTCTTCCCGGAACTCGGAATGTTGAGGCACTGCACTGCCGCGAAGTTGACTGATCGGATGGCAGAGCACTGCGGCAAGCCTCACCTCAGGTCATGTCAAGCAGTCGATATGATACGATGAAGGCACGACTGAGACCACCGTACCTCTCGCCTCAGCAGGTCAGGTTGCAGAGACAAAAGGGAAAGGAGAATGAGGTGAAGGGTCTCTGTGAGACTGCAATCTCTTGTCACCTCTGCTATAGATACTTCATCACTGTGTACTTCGTGTGAGGAGAGAGTTCCACTGGACTCCGGGACTCGGACTGAAGTCTCGATATTCAACCGTGCTGAGTCCGAGTTGGAAGTTGCAACCGTTACAATTATTTTGCCTCGAACGCAACGGTCTTTCTCCTTCAAACGACACTGGATCGCCGTAGGTTGTAGACTACTATTATATTGCCAATAATAAATTAGTTCATAAAAATTATTTTAATTTCATATTTTCTTCATAGTTTTCAAAACATCATATGTATATTGAAATATGAAAATTTTTTTCAGGAGAGTTTCAATTTTAAAAATACATAAGCCTTTACAACTACCCTACCCGAGTCCTCCCCAACGATTTCTGAGTACCCCTGTTTCTGTGAATGAAATTCCATCTTTCCATAGGGTACTTCGGCTTACCGCTACCCCTCGGCGCCTACTACCCTCTTGCCCTCTCTCTAGGGGAATGGCGGCTTCCGTCAGCGCTTGTGGCGCTGCCTCCCCATACACACGTGGTTACGTTCGTCAGCTGATGCTGTTGCTATGCGCTTCTCTTCTCTCTTTAGCTTCATGCTCAGCCTCTCTTTCGTTGCCATCCTTCAAGCCCATGAAACTGAGAAAGGATCCGGAGGAGTTGCACATCAAAGCTGGGAACATGGTGTTCAAGTCCACACGAGTTGACGTCCAACGACTGAGAGGAGGGGGAGCAGCACAGGGAGCTCTCCCAAAGTACCCTTCGAATAGAGCGCTCAAGCAAGATGAGGTGACGATCTAGCTGCTGTTATCAATCGCATTCTGATTTGCATTATAGTATGCGCCCCCATTTGGTACCTTGCTGAGGAGCAGGAGCGGCGCTTTCTTTTCGCCTACCCCTACACCGGAATGGTTTGAGAATGGCATTGTCTATCAGATCTATCCCCTTGGCTCTCCAGGAGAGGATGGCAAGGGCGGAGGATTCTTTGGCGAGGTGAAATAATTCGAAAATGAAGTGGGATGGAGTGAACGTGTGTAGGTCCCGGCAGAAAACGATCTCACGTCTCCACCGAAGAAGCGAGTAAGAAGATTGTTATGATACCTTTGAGCTGTTATTGTTGACCAGCGTTCCCTCCGCAGCTTCTAGAGCTCCGACAGTGGTATGATCACCTCGAAACCTTGGGCGTCACTGCGATTTACTTCTCCCCGATTTTCGAGTCTGAAACTCACGGGTACGACACTGTCGACTACTATCAGATTGACAGAAGAGTTGGCGATATCGAAACATTCCGTACGATTGTCAAAGAGCTGCAGAAACGTGGTATCAAGGTGATCCTGGATGGAGTTTTCAACCACACCGGCAGGAAGTTCTTTGCGTTTAAAGATCTCTTGAAGCATGGTGCAGATTGGATGAAAAGTCCTTACAAAGAGTGGTACTTTATTTCCGAAGGAAACAGCACTTACGGTGATCCTTTCTCGTACCGTTCTTGGGAGGGGCACGAGGAGCTTCCTGAGCTCAACGTGGAAAACTCAGAGGTGAAGTCATCTGCTTAATATGCAACTTTGTTGAAACATTTGTTCTGTTCTTGTTTGTGTTGCGTAGGTTCGAGATTACCTCTTTGAAGTCGGAAAGTTTTGGCTCGGTGAGGTTGGGATTGATGGATGGCGACTAGATGTCGCTCATGAACTTCCTCCTTCATTCTGGAGAGATTTCCGTTCCGCTTGCACTGAAGCTAACCCTGAGCACGTTCTATTGGGTGAAGTAATACACGGTGATTACAACACATGGGTGGGCCCTGCCAAGGGTCTGCTGCACTCGGGGACGAACTACCAGCTTTCCAAGGCGCTTTGGTCGTCGCTGAAGGATCACAACTTCTGGGAAATTGATTCCGCCTTCAGCCGAGATAGGATGCTGTACCGCGAGATGTCTCTGGTGAACTTTCTGTCAAATCACGACGTTGCTCGGGTTGCCACACAATTGGAGAACGAGCCTCAGTTGCTTCCTCTCGCTTATTTCCTTCTCATGACCGTCAGAGGCATCCCCTGCATCTACTATGGCGACGAATGTGGTGTAAAAGGCAGGAAGGAGGATGGTGCGAGCTAATTCTGTGCAGTCGATCCCCTCACTCCTCCTTTGCAGGAGATGCAGCATTGCGTATGGCGATGGTGAAGCCTGATGATGAATGGCCAGCTGGAGGTCGAGAACTCTTCAATGGCATCGCCCATCTGGTGCAGTTTCGTAACAAGGTCAGACACTAGCTTGTTGCATATGGCACTTGACGATAGACATGCAGCATGAGGCGTTGAAGACCGGATCGCTCCAAACTCTCTTTCACTCCAACAATGAGGTAGATCGTGACTTGTGAGATTGACGTTGAAGTCGTGGCAGCTCTTGTTCGCAAGGATTTCCGACACAACGGGAGAGGCAAGCCACATGCTTCTCATTGACTTGCTGCTTACACAACTGCCAGGTCCTCTTAGTCGCAGTGAACTCTTCTCCCGAGCATGTTCATCCTGAGGTTTCTCTCGGCGTACTCAGCAAACCTCCTGGAACTCCCATCAAGGTGAAATCACATGCAGTGTGAGGATGGAGGCAGGCTTTAATTTCGTTTCAGTGTCTCTGGGGCGATGGGGCAGATGCTGGAGCCATCAACGAAGAGTACAAGGCTCGAATCCACATCCCACCCTACACTGGGCGCGTGTTTACTTTGACTCCTGAGCCAATGCCGGCTGAGACCCAGACAACAGAAACCTGATGATTAAGTGTGGAATTATTAATGAATCCAAGGGGTAGCGCAGTCGGCATTCCGTTTTAGCGCATTAGATCCGCAGGTTTCAGTTTGAGTTGTTGATGACAGCAAAAGTAGTGGATGTCAAATATGCATGAGATTCCAGTCCCTCTCTCTCCATCTCATAAATTACCCTCAGAGGGAGCATGCATATATTCCCACGTTCTTACCAATTTTGTGAACAAAATATTCACTTCTCGACAATATTTCAACAAAGTAGAAGGTGCCGTCTTCATGACTTCCTAAAACAAGCTCTCCTCGCCGCAGACACAATGTTGTCAGCCTGCCAAAAAGATACATTTTTTACACTGCGAGCCATATCGAAATATCTACCTGGGGGATCGCAGCATCTTCAAGATTCTTTGCGTATGGCATGGGGACATCAGCACCAGCCACTCTCTCCTACATTCATCCAAAGTCTATGAGCCGGACTCAAGGTTCAGTCAGAGCGTTACCATGGGCGCATCTAGGTAGTCGAAGGCATAAGATTCCATGATAGATGCTGCAATCTCAGATCCAACCCCATACATGTGCCATCCCTGGTTGCATTCCTATGAGTTTGCATAAACATTCAAACGAGATTTCTTACATCTTCGACAGTCACCAGCCTGTTTGTCTTCACAACCGAATCCGCGATGGTCTTTACGTCAAGGGGCCTGATGCTGATCAAAACATTACCGGATGGGCAGTTGGAAGTTAATCCCAGACCTTCTCAGATTGATCACTTCGGCACTGATGCCCTCTTGAGCGAGTTTCTCTGCCGCCTCAAGAGCCATTTGAACCATCCGAGAGAACGCGACAATGGTCACATCCTTGCCTTGCCTCATAATCTTTGCCTTTCCAATAGGAATCACAAAGTCTGGACTTTGCGCCTGCAGATTGCGAAATCAAATGCATGCTGTTGACATCGTTCAAGTCACCTCATCAGAAAGCTGAAATGTACTGCCATACAGCAACTCATTCTCTAGAACTACAACCTGAAGAAACCAGCTTCAGCAACAATTATTGCTCTAACGAGCATGTCACCGGGTTCGGGTCACGGATTGCAGCCTTCAGGAGCCCACGTGCATCCTCACTATCAAAGGGAGAGACCACCTGTTATTTTAAATGAGATGTTCTTTTCACCGCTGCTTACATTCGTCACCTTCAAACCAGGACAATGTCCGTACCATGACGCAAAGCACTGAGAATGCTGAGCGGCCACACCGGCAGCTGGTCCATTTGGCCCACGGAAAACAATAGGGCAAGGAATATCTCCAGCAGACATGTAGTTAATCTTGGCTGCACTATTGATGATGTGATCGATTGCTTGCATTGAAAAGTTGAAGGTCATGAACTCGACAATGGGTTTGAGACCTCCCATGCTTGCGCCAACACCCATGCCAGTGAAACCTGATGGCATCTTGATCAGGAACCATTTAACACGAAGATAAGTATCACCAATTTCTGTAATGGGTGTGTCAATCACTCTCTCAGGACCGTACTTCTGAATCAAGCCACGAGTGACCTTGTAAGCTCTGCATGCAATTTTCACTAGTCCAAAGCACACCTCCAGCTCTCACCCTTGGTAGTCACCGACTTCTTCGCCCATCACAAAAACAGTAGGATCTCTAGCCATCTCCTCGTCCTGAAATCATTCAAAGAGAATGTGAGAAAAAACCTCTGTAATTGATTTTTTTCTCACACAAAAGAGTGACACAAGCATTCATTGATTAGCAACATCATTATAAGAGCATTATGATCAACACAGCGAAGTATAATATGAAAATTGAAAATCATAGAAGTATGAATGTTTTTCATTTTTATCGTTATCGAACACCATTCTTGTACAGGAAGAAAGGCTATCCTTCTCACTTTCGGAATCAAAACCCTCAACCCCCCTCCATTTGATCAAGCACCAACAGGCACTAGGGAGCGGAACTTACCATAGCCGAGTTGAGGGCATCTCTGACTGTCATGTCCTTGGCTGCCATCACTCGGCTGGTCGTGTGGAACGTCCGCACGCATCGTTGTGGATGCAGCAGGCGCCTCAGCATCGCCTGCATAGCGCCCGCGGGTATTGAAATCTGTAGAAAGGTGGGTCTGTTCTCCAGTAGCGGAATGTAGGTAGGGTCTTCAAGATTTGATGGGGTGCTTGAGGGTGGTGAAGGCACGGTCCTAGCTACTGATAGGACTTCATGCTGTACCACGCTATATCAAATTTCCAATGTCAGTCTGGGTGTAGGGCAATCCTTTTATCAGAATACTTTTGGGGGTAGGGGTACTTTTTGAACCGGTACACAAGAGTGAAATTTCTCAAATAGAGGGTGGGGGTAGGGGCTTGAGACGCAGAGGAGTTCGCCTTCCCAACATACAGGGCTGCAAGGGGTTGAGTAGTCGAAAACTCAACTAGGTTTCCCTGAATTTTAATAAATAAAGATAAATAATTGAATAATATTGTTACATTTGGACGATTTCTTGAACTGTTCTAATTCCTTTCCCCATGTCCCCATCACAAGACGCATGGACAAGAGCCCCCCACCCCCCACCCACCTTAAACTGCTCTACCCCCAGAATCCCTTCAAAATACCCCGGTTCAAAACGTATATTTCAATGCAAGCCACTTCTATTTCAAGTACCCCTACCCACACAAACGAAGAATAAACACCAGACCACCACGCTACCCCCACGCTGCCCAAATCAACAGCCTGACAACTTAAAATCCATTCGGGGACCCTTTCTAGTGGGTCCGGTGAACTACTGAACCCAACCAAACTAAAACTCAAACCTAAACCCGGGCCCAGCCTAACTAAGCCGCACTGACTGAGGGGCCGTCGAAGTCCGAACAGGGCCGGCCGCCGAGGACAAACTTTTAACTTCTCAAACCTTGTACTATTTTTATAATGAATCACTTGAAGTATCCAGGCCTCCAAAACGAGTCTTCACAAGAACTCCAGCATTGTTCGCAGATCGATACTGTGAGAGTTGTCATACCTGCCATGCTCCACATCAACGACGAACCATGAAATCTATTGCGTTCTCACTGGTCTGGGGAAAAAATGCCAACAATTTCATTGAAGCAGAGCGACGATCTCCGATCGAAAGGATGGCTGGAAGAAAAGAATTAAGAGAGCTTAAACTTATTGAAGGATACCTGTTGTCTTCTGGTGAAGCAATGAACCGCGGGAGGACGAAAACGAGGTCTTCCTGATGATGAGCAGCAAGAATGTCTCGGATGGTGCTTGGGTTTTCATTCTTCATGGAACAACATCAGTTGGTTCAACCGCATTGTCATGGAGTTCACCCGGGTCAAGTAGTACAGAACGAAAGAATAATTGTGCGCCCTCACTTTGCGCAGATCGTTGTCGGGATCATTCGAGAGCATCTGTTGACGAAATTGAGTTCGTAACCAAATACCGTGCAAATTCGACTTGTCTCATGGCGTAAAAAATCACTTGAAATCGTCTCATGATCGATTTGTCCGAACACATCGTGCAAATCTGCGATGTCAACTCCATTTTTTTGTCAAACTGGCATGTAAAAATCAGAGAGCATCTCCGACGCTCACAGTACTTTACAGGTTGTCCTTGCACAATGCTCTCTGTCTTCAGCTCTATCAAAATATTGCAAACTTCAAACATGATGGCGACTATGGTGTGAACGACCTGCCGAAATACATGAGTATAATCAACAACCGTATAATAAAAAACAGAGTATAATCAACAGTCATATCGGACCTCTAACAGAAGTGTATCATCCCTTCTCTCATTCATTTCTTCAATTGTTACAAACGACATCCACAACGTTTGTATCAGCTGGCTGAGGGGGCTGGATCTGAGTAAAAGAGAGCGATCAGCACACAGAAGACATCAGGAAAACTAGATACTTGGATGCGCAAAAAGTCTCTGCGTCGCGCTTCAACTCTTTTGAGGAGAAGAGTGGCCAACACTGAGAGGCAGTCATGGGAAAGAACCCCCCAAACATTCATGTGTACCGAAAACAATGTCTTGTGTATGGCCTCAAGCAAAACCATCAGATATTGCAAACATCCTGTCCGCCCAGCATTCTTGATTTCCTGATACAGAACCAAAAAATCAATTTCTCATCAAAAGAGGTCATCGCATCATACAGGGTGCAACTGCCACTTAGTTGTCGTCAACCGTTGCAGTTCATTCACCATCCAATCAAGTAGAGAAGATTTGTTGAACAAGACCAATCGTTTCAGAGTAAAATTAAACCTCACCGCATGAGCCAGTTCATCCAGAAGATCTACTTTTTCTTGTAAGCCTTTTGCTGCATGTATTTCATTTTGCAATTCCAAGTAGAGTGCTCGCACTTTTTCGTTACTCAAATGTGTATCTTTTCCTGACTTCCAGCCGTAAAGTTCACAAGACAATGAGCCTATCCACCATTGGTGCAGATTCTCAAACAATTTCGTATCCTTCTCATATATATAGAAAAATTCTTGTTTTTCAATGGGTTGAATCACCGAAGATTGATCTTCAGTGATCGATTTTCTGTTCCTACCAAGGAATCGAGTTATTGATCTTACTGGTGATATTCTGCTCTTTTGTTGTGCTTCTGCATTCATGTCTTCAATGTACTTTATCGTGACTTTCGCTGTGCGCCTGGTGGTTTCTTCATCTGCAAAGTGAAACTTGTCATTCCTGTTGATGGTGAGAGATTTGATGTGACAGATAGATATTTTGATGATACGCCTTTGATCCACAACTCCAAAAGGTACCAAACAGAACTCCACCCCAGCTATAACTCCCCATTTGCATGCGCCTGAATGAACAACAGACTCGAAATGTTGAGGCGGAAGTGAAGACGGAGGAAAAATTTGTTCAAAACACCTTTTTGCCTGTGCGTCTGATGCAAACGAAGATTTAGCATTCTTTTGTTCCTCCTTGAGCATAAGCTCGAATTCTTCTAGACACGATTCTCTGGATTTCAGCTGCTGTGGATGAGTATTAAACCTCCGACCACATCTTTGATTCTCTTGAAACTAAGAGAAACGCAAAGAATCCTGCAACATGCAATTAGTTTTGATATAACTACCAACAACCTGACATTGAGACATTCGCATCAAGTCACAATCTTGTTCTGTTCCCCTAAACCCTCATCGGGCCCTTTTTCGCAAGAAATAGAGAGCCAGGCGAGCTTGTTAACGTTCTCACCCTTAGATTTTGAAAAAAAATGCTCTACAAATCTCTTTGTGTGCAAGTTTGACTTCCTTTTTCAATGTTTCTCGGTTCACTATCGTCACTAATCCACACGCCTGGTCTAACTCTCTTCTTTCCTTCTTTCCTTCTCTGTCTGGTTCGAGTTATTGTCCCCTCCTCACTTTCTATACTTTTCATCATTTCTTCGTAATTGTCCTTCTGTCTTGCAATTCTGCCTCTCATTCATCTGTCTGCCAACGCTGGTCTCCCCTTGTTCCTTCATTGGATAATGACCGGTAAGGAGGCGAACCACCCACTTTACCCCTACCCCCATTATTACCTTCGACCTCATTCTGTTCTCACAAGTCTACCCCCCATAGCTCCATCTATATCCCACCATCTTGACCCACCCTCTCTGGACATACCCATCTACCTATACATCTACCTGGTCACATTGCTTTTCTAGAGGACCACTCCTCTCATCTCGAGAAGGTCCCTAGTACCCCTACCTTTGGCCTAAGTCAACAGTAGTACCCCACCCGTCCGAAAAGGTAAACCTCCGAGATTAGATCACCACTCAAGGAAAAGTTCACAACTTGTCAGTGCAGTGCCGGGGGCGGCCGGAACTTGCAGCGGGCCCTGTGATACGACCGGACTAATGATGTCGACATGGCGTGGGCGCACCGCCTGGTTGAGGGTAGAAGATCCGCCTGGACCGGTGAGAATGCGAATTATCAGAGATGGCTTAGATGTTCCTTGCGCTCCATCAACCAAGAATGATACAGAGATCAGGCAGGCTCAACTAGATTGCACGCATTTTGAAGAGCTCCTTGTTCATGAGATAGGCGGAGAGAGTGTTTATGATTGGACAGATGATGCGTTTCAGTCTGCGTTCAGACACGGACCTAGCGAGATCGAAACAAATCAAGACATAGAAGCTGACCATGAAGCCACTTCTCGCTCAGACCAGATGATTACGCTTGTGGTGTCTGAAGTAGAAGATTTCTCGTTCGAACAGCATCCCAAGCATCTCAAGGGGCTGCGCAAGCTATCGATGCCGTTCCAGACCCTGCAAACATGCTGCAACTTTGAGAGGAAACTAGGTGTCTTCAGAATCTCGGCTATTGATGATAATGCTTCCCGCTGTCATAACCAACTCGTCTTCCAAGCAAATGAAAACACTTTGAAAGATATGAATTTGTTGCAAGTACAGAATCTGTTTGCTCAGTGCAAAGACGAAATTGAGTTGAAGTTGAAACTTCCCGCCGTCAAAGGATTGATTGATTTGTTCGTAAACAGAATTTCATTGATGGCCAAGCGAATGCCGGAACCTCATCGAGTCACTCACTCAAATATCAAGATGGGTCATACTCTGGAGTCTTCAACACTGGAAGTGGAGGCGAAGACGGGTCAGACACAGTCAGAAGAGATAGTTCCACACTATCATGTTGATTCCAGCTCAAGTATGGCACAAACCGGGGGGATTTCAAGCAGCACTGATGGTGGGGGAATACTTGTTAAGCAACAGGACAATTCCTGTCAAACGTTTGACATTCATTTAAGAGAAGATGAAGAATCACTTCAGATAGTAACCTCTTGCCAGACAGATGGTTTGCTTGTAATCGAAGATATAGAACAGTCGGTGCGAGATATTCTCCTTGCTTCAATCTGACCTGACCTTGGTTTAGTCTGCTGGTCACCGTGCAGGGTTGAAAGTGGGCTATATCATAGAAGAAGGTGATAGAAACATCGAATGAATTACCTTGATTTGTCGCTTACAGTCAATGACCACCCCATCAGAACTTCTACTCCAGATGAGATTTTGAAACTGTTGAGAGAGCTTTCTTCGAAAAGGAATTTCAGCATCACGATAAGTCAGCCAAAAGATTTCGTGGTGCTCAAAGATTCCGAATCTTTTCTGACTCAGGGATCTTTGCTTCTGCAGAGACAATCATTACACGAGAATGTGTGGCAGGAGAGCCAAATAGTTTTGAAAGAAAAAGTTCTTTACTATTATAAGAATCGATTTCACTTTGAAATAGAGAAGGAGAGACAACAGTTTTCGTTAGAAGGGTGTCGTGTTGTGGCTATTGAAGATGAAGTTTTCCCTTCTGCCGTTGGCTTGAAGCAAGATGAGGAAGATCAAGATATCAAGTATTCAATGCTGGAGGTGCTGGCGGCGGTCAAACAAGAAAATCCCTCGGTTGTTCACACTGTGGAGGGGAAGGAATGGAACAGATACGCTTTCAAAGTTATAAATCTGTTAAGTGGAGAGCATCTCGTACTAGCTGCTCACTCTCAGGCTGAACGTGAGTTTTGGATCAAAGAATTATCAAAACGGGCGATTGTCACTTCGACAGAGGAATTGGGAACCCCATCCAATCACGACCAGGAAGTGGCCCACCTTGTGATTAAAGACCATGGAACAACACAGGTCATTGGTGGTATAGACGCAGATGACGAAAGACATCACATCCTTGAAAGAATCAAAGTCCTCAAATTGAGTGTTCTTCCCCGTCACCAAAAGATTCTCCAAGGAATTGAAGAGCAAGTTAGAAATCGCTTCGACCTTAACGCTACCATGGAGATTGGGCTGACTCCTGTTGGTGGCTGTTGCTATTTCAATGATGCTCGTCTGCTAGGCATGTTGCTGGACATGTCTGCGGATTTGAACGTTAAAGATATTGTATGCTTGCATGAAAGTTTCCTACCTGCTGACTGTTCTTGGCAGAATGGGATGGCTCCTCTCAGTATTGCCTGCGAGGAGGGGGAAAGCGAATGCGTGGAGTTGCTCTTAGAGAGAAGGGCCGATATCAAGGGGAACTCGGAGGTAAGAGGCGTTGAAGTTGTTCCTGCTCGATTGATGCGGAACCAGGGATTGAAAACTCCAATCTTTCGAGCAGTGCAAGGAGGAAACGTTCAATGCGTACAAGCTATCTTGAAGAATGGAGGGAATCCGAACGAACCAGGAGGAGGAGTAACTCCGTTCTTCCTTGCCATGGAGCAGGGATCGCATGATTGTTTGCAGCTCCTGATTGAGTATAAGGCAGACGTGAACAGCAAGCGGAGCTGGGATGGTGCAGATGCTCTCGAAGCCTCAGTCGAGACTACTTTGCAACGAGTTGTTCGTATGCGCGTTGCTTCCATGGGAACCACGAGCGATTCGGTATGGTTGAAGGCAAGCAGGGCTCTTTTTGACAAGACGACAGTGCAAGATCGACCAAGTGGTGCACAGATTCGACCGATGCTTGTCCATGCTCATGGCCAATGTAGATTACCAAGTCACTGCGAAGGTATCACTTTGGCTACATCTTCATCTTGTTTATATCATCCCATCAATAGACCAAACGAACCATTCAGAGCTACAAGGAGAAATCAAACAGTCGGTAAGTGACGAATTGTCTCTTTCATGCAAACATATGACGATTTGACGATTTTCCTCCTCTAGGGAAGATTTTGAGGCGATCGGAGAGTCGAAGAATCAACCTAGGAAGATTGACGGGAAACAAAGGAGCCAGAAAATCTCCATTTTTTAGGCTCGACAAAGTTGAGAAAATTAGACTCTTCATGAGTTCTTCGTCTTCTCCGCATTGCAGGAAATCTGCTTCAAATCACAATCAGAAACAAAAAGCCGCTGGAAGCAGAATTTTTCCAATGACTTACAGGCGTGTCATGTGCACGTGCAAGAGTTTTTCGCATCTCGAGAGCGTCACAGTCATCGTAGTAGAAAGGGATTCGACGATGTATTTCGTAACTGCACTTACTTGTCACAGCTTGTGCTCGATAATATCATCTCCTTACCCCAAATGTTCATAAAAACCGATGGCATTTTTGTTTGTCTCCTTAACAAAAAGATCGACATACTTCGCTTCTTTCACTTTTGCAAACTCCATCTCCATCTGCCGGATAGCTTTAGAAGCTTCTCGGTGAATATCTCATTTCAAACCTGAGCCATCAATCTGCTGCCAAGATTCCTGCCAAATTGTAAGCATAAAGTGACAAATATCAGCGGCTATGGTCGACCTTCCTCGGAACTCTGCTTTAATCGTGACGGCAGAGATGTGCCCAAAAACTCCTTCCATACCCCGATCAAGCTTAGCCAGCGTGTACCTACAAGAAGGTGTTGGAAACAGCAAAATGTATGGACAGTCGCTCACCCGCAAAGCTTTCCTTTGAGTTCCGCAACTATGCACAAATGCGGCCAGTGCTGCATGTAGTTGATGTAGTAGTTACGAGGAAAGTTTGCTGTCCACTTGCAAGCCTTTCGAGAAAGTTGTGAGATCGACAAGACAAGGAGAAGGAAGCAGAGAGGGTGAAGGAAAAAAGTACCGAGATTATCGGCTGCATCTTATCAATATCTTGAGACTTCATCAATCTCATAAACATCCCATGATTTGGGAGTGCCCCATTAGTGACTGTCTGTGTCTATTCGTGTCACTCCTCAAACATATCCCGAGGAAAACGAGAAAACCTTGAGCTCTACCACGTTCCACTCTTGAGACTAAAGACACAATGTCACATTGATACCTTCCCTTTGCTTATCACCTTAGGAATCCACAAATAGCCAACAGGAGACAAATTCTGACTTTTAAAGTTAGCTTTTTCATTTGTCGTGGATTCCTGTGCAGACGATTGGCATCCTTGCTTCTCATATCGATGACTGGGAGGATGATTGTGAACCTTTTGCTGCGATGAACTCATTCTATCTTGTTTGTTCGTCTTGTGCTCTTGTTGAATCTCAAGGTCTCCACCTCCCCGAACCTTTGCACATGAACCTACTGGTGCTTGGGGCCCAGGCAAGAAAGGAAGATCCGATTCCGACACTCCCTCTACCATCAGGATGCAAGGATGAGAAGGTAACGAAGAAGGAAAGCGAGTAAAGAAAAGAAACATCAAACCTGCTGCCACCCAACGGGGTCGAAGGTGAGATATCTCGGGCTTGAAGAGGGATACGCTTCCAATTTTCTTGATTTGTGTGAAGTCTGCTTGGATGACCTTTCCTAAATTGTCACGAATTTGAAGTCCCCACGCTAAATCATCACCTCCGGCTTTAAACTGTCAAAATTGTCCTCTTCCGTCACTATTTCTTGACAATTCTTCCTCTCTATGACACACTTTCTTCCTTTTCGTTGACTTCTTTGACCTCTGATGTTCTGCAATGAATTAGAGAATATGTTGATTACACTGTTGATACCAACCACGAACGTGTCAATATCCGCAAAGGCTGTCACCAAAAGGATGAAACGATAAGAAATATTTCAGAATCTATTATGCAGCAACGTACCCCTGGCAAGATTGAAAAGAAAGAGGATGATCAACAGGGCACTAATGCCTTGCATCGTACATTTCAAGTTTGCATCTTTTGGGTTGTTGGTAAGAGAAAAAGGATTGAGATGATGTTTCGTTACGATGTGTTTGAGTTCGATGTAGAGGAATCAAATCTTGAACATGTACCGCTGCCAAACATGTCAAACATGAGCACAGTCCTCCATGTTCTAGCCTTCTCCCTGCGCAATGCGTGCTCAGGGCCCACGGCCAAGCCCGCGCCAATACGTTAGGGTTTAGGGTTTAGAAGGCGCCGTTTAGGGTTTAAGTTATCCTCCATCTCCTGTCTCACTTGTAAGCGTCGTTGGATGGATCTTTTTCGAGAATGTACAGCAAAAAGAACGTTGTCACATAGAATACTTCAAAGGATTTCGGTTGACACAATCAATGCTCAATTGTTATTTGGCGAACTTTCAGGATGAGCTTAACTTCTTCAAGATCTCCAATGTTTTTAATGTCATACGAGAAGAATTGAAGATATGGTTGGTGAAGCGAGGATGCACTAAATGGAATCCGAGAAAAGCAAATCGCCTTGCTTTCACCGTACCAATTCAAGATTTTACTGCGATACTGTATTTGTTGAGACAGATGCCTGTAGAAACAAGCAAGGTGCTGTGCTTGTTGTATCCATGAGGATCCGGAACCACGGATATTCGTCGGATACTCTGCCGGATATTCCCTATATAGGCGGACGCATCTCGTGCGGACGGCCTCCTGAATTTCCCCCACTTGCATGCACAGTGAGTGTGGTGGTTGTGCGTAGTTTACCTCCCAGTAAACTTAGAGACTTCTATTTCCTGCTTCTCAATCTTCTTCATCCTTACTTTTCTCGTGTCGTTGACAATCTCTGTGTTGTGTATACAACATTCTGGAAGCGAAGTGGTTGATTCATGACCTCGAAACAAGGAAGAGGAGGAAAGAAACCTCAGCCGGAAAGGAGCCCTCAACCTCGATCTGACAGCAATCAGGAGCATTTCAAACAGAAATTGCTGAAGAGAGTTCTGAGGAAGAAGTCGAATGGAGCGAGCGGCTGCAGCTGCAGCAGCAGCAGCTTTCTCCGAGTCAGACCAGTGGATCTTTGACTCAACCTTATAGGGATGGAGATGTACAACGTGAAGCGCTGTCTAGCGCGGATCAACGGGCCCGAAACAAGAGGGATACTCCCTTGCGAAGTATTCTGCGATCAGAGGAGGCAACTCAGAGAGCAGCCTCCCCTGCAACATCGGTACGTCTGCCAAGCTCGGAAAATTTTTCATCCGACCCCGTCATGTCCTCGCCAGTGGCGCAGGACCGAGCTCTTCTCCTTCTTCGTCGAATGTGCAGGACGAGCGTTTCCACATGCTCGCCAATGCTGCCGACGAGTTTGCGACAGCCGACGCTGCTGCAACACCAGAGCTCCCTCCTCTCGCACGGAAAGTTACCCTGCAAGAGGCTAATGCTGATATCTATTCAGCTGAGGAATCGGCTAGCGCTGAATCCTCTGATCAGGAACCAGTCCTCTCCAATCGGACTCTCGTGAATGTGCTAACGAACTCCAAGAGTTTCAATTCCAGCCGCATTCCGATGTACAAAGGTTTTGCTGATCCCCGCTCTGTCGAAGAATTCCTTCGTCAGTGCAACCGCGAATTAATCGCTCAAGAGATCCCAACTCGCAAATGGGTGAAAAGCATCACGCCGTTGTTCACCAACGAAGTGATGGTGGTGGTAGAACGTAAGTACGGAAAGAGTCTCGAGGCCATCAACAAGCTTAAATGGGATGAATTTTCAACTCATCTAAGTTCGTGTCTAGCCCCAATGCGGCAAGCCAAGAACTATCAGACTCAGCTTGATCAGCTCAAGCAGCAGCCCAACGGAATCCACTTGGGCGTACCTGACTCGCGCCACGACACTGTTCGCAACGCTCGAATCGCAGGTAGGGTCAGCCATACTGTACTTCAACGATCAGCCACTCCGGAAATTCATCAAGGGATTTTCGCATACGCCGACGCGCACGTCTATCCACACATGGTTTACGATTTATCGCAGTCAGTACGGACACGGAGAAGACATGTTCTCTCGCCTAGTCACTTTCATCACAGCTCTTCTGGACGATGGTGAACCGCTAACAGTGTCTAAGCAGCCTAACAATTCAGCTGCTGCTAACGCTGCGCAGACCTCTTCGCACACTAAGGCCAAAGCTAACGGTGGGCAGAACAAGAAGAAGTCCAACGGTAAAGAAAACCAGCGCAAGCAGAAGTCCATCCGTTGTTTTTACTGTCAAGAACCGGGTCACATCAAGCCGGACTGCGAGCAGTATAAGCGCGAAGTCGCCCTCCAGCAGGAGCGCCATGAGAAACTCATGGCAACCCAGCACGAACAGCATGTTCAGCTTTTAGCTGCTCTTCAACCGCTCGCATCGCGCGCGGGAAACGAGTAGCAGCGGTAGGCAATGAGAGGGGAGCATCACTTGCTCCTCCTGCCGCTGGTCTTTGCCCCAGCCCTCTCTTACCAGGTAGCAGCGCTTTACCTCCTCATCGGAGCTCGCTAAGCCATTTCGTGCTGCCGCCTGATCGGAACGCGTCGTGTTCCACGGCCGCGTCCCTTCCTCCGGGTCAACTACATGTTTGCCCCTGCTTAGCCCTCAGCCGTGGCGACGCCTCCGCGCCGCTTCAGCTCGCCTTACCCGATCTTATTCGGCTCCCCGTTAGCGTCAGCTCTTCCCGAGTTCATGCTCACCAGACCGTTGCCCTGCTCGATCACGGCGCGACGATCAATATCATGTCTCAGCAGCTTTTTCAGCAGCTGGGACTCTCCGAGACTCTGCTACAGCGTGATACGCAGTTCACCGTGCAAGTTGCGGACGACCGCCAAGTGCAAACCCTCGGCGCCGTCTCGCTCGCCTATCGCATCGGCCGCTTTTCAAGCAAAGATACGTTTCATATCTTGCCACGTTGTTCTCAACCCCTGATCTTGTCCCTCCAGTGGATACATCGTCACAACGCTGTCTACGTTCCGCGGACCCGAGAAGTGTTCGTCGATTCCCCCAAAGCTCGACGAGCCCCTCCGATTAGCTTGCCAGTTCAGCATCAAGTGCCCTACAAGGACTCGGTCTTAGCCGTGACAACCGTCTCGCTCACCGATGCTCACGCTCTGCGTGTCGCCAATCCTAACGAGGAATGGTTCTTGTTGCACCTGCATGTCCCAACGACAGCTTCCGCCTCGGCCTCTTCCGCCGACCCGCCAGTGGGCGCCCCTGCTCACCTTGCTCAAGCCCTCTCTGAGGAATTCGCCGACGTCCTCGTCGACGACCTGCCGCAAGGACTTCAGATCAACCGTCCCCCTCAGTTTGACGCTCACATTCAGCTCAAGCCAGGGACCTTGCCCATCAACTGCAGGCCATATCGCATCCCCCTTCATCTTGAAGGAGAACTCCAGGCTACCATCGCGTACATGCTCGAACACGACATCATCGAGCCATCCAATAGTGAGTTTGCCTTTCCTGTGCTTTTCAGTCGACGCCCCAACGATCCACGCTCCCCAACTGATCCCAAAAGCTACCGCTTTTGCTGCGACCTTCGCCGCTTGAACCAAGTCGTCTTGAATCAGCAGACCGCCGCAACTCCTACCGTCGATGAGATGTTGGAAAAGATCGCCGACACAGTCCGTCAAGGCAAAGCCCGTCGCAAAACCGATGAGCAGCTATGCATCACTACGCTTGATTGTATCAAGAGTTTTTGGCAGGTACTCGTACGTGTTCCTGATCGCCGATATCTCGCGTTCATTACACCGATTGGTCACTACCAATACAAGCGCCTACCATTTGGATTCATCACTGCCAGCAGCATATTCCAAGGATTCATCCAGCAGGTCCTCCATGATCATGCCGTTCACTTTTAGCCCTTTCGTTAATTTCCACTCTTCTTTTCAAGAGATACCTCCAAAGAGTACCAGTGCAGTTTAGTTATCATTTCTGCTAGGCCTTTACATGTATTTTAACTTTCATTTCAGTGGGTTGAAATGTTTTCAACCTCGTACACGCCCGACTCATGTCTCCCCTACACGCCGGCACGTAGCACCAAAGCTGCTCCTCCAACGATGCCGCTGTAAGACCATCCGCTGCTGTAGCCAGCATCAGATCTCAGCATGCAAGGCTTTGTTAGGTTTGAAGCTCTCTAGTCAGCACAGTTTGAGACCTGAGACCGCTAGGTTCGTGGTGATGCGTTCGGTGACAACAGAGTGTGCAGCAATGGCATTGTGAGATCCATGGTTCAAAAGGTTATTATGAAGAACAAGATGATGAAAACATGAGGTTTGAATCCAGTGTAGGAGATCGCTTGTCATTTTGACTTGACACCAACCTTATGGCAGCGCTGAATAATCATAAGATACTTCCCTGCGATGAATGATTTTTGAATTGCATATTTTCCACATGCGATGCCTTGAAGATTTGTTTGATGGAGATTGCATCATGTTGCAGATCCACGTAATTAGTCAAGCCCACTTGTTATATTAGACATCAAGCATTGCATAGATTGTTTCACAAGATTTCTGCATGCATTTCGCCTACTGCAGTGAGGATGTTTGATTGCATGTAAACACTGATGCCGCCAGAGACAATCAAGACATCTTAAGCCTTGAACACCGTCGAGAGTCTCCACTTCTGAGATTTGCAGAGTGTGTTGATTTCTTGATGCGTGGGATTAGTTTTGAGCATTCATCTAGCTGTGATGTCGGACATTTGAACCGTCAACACAGTATGCACACATGTATTATTTGTTCTATTGTGAAATAAAGTGATCTCAGTCTTGCATTCGAGGCCATGCTAAAGAGCATTTCTGTATTTTCGTTCATTTCACATAAATGCAGAATGCATGCAGGGGTTGCCAGTGAATGATGATGAAAACATCGCTTCCCCTGTAGACCATTCCGACTCACTGTAAGCTTGGGATCGACATCACAAGTGGTAGTGATCTGATTGCAGAAATCTTTATACATTCATGATGAGGTATCATTCTTTGCAACAATCTAATTACAATGACAACCGCAAGTAGCATCAAATACATGCGCAATGGTGAGCACAATAAGCCTCACATTGGTTTCTTCGTTGTGCCTGCATAGCAGAGATACATCAAAAAGTTGCAAATAAACCTAATTATGCACAATGTATGCTTGTAGCTCTAGTAAGCCACATTGATTGCTGTAGGATTCTCATCCTGTGGTTGAAACAGACTTTCCATGTCGCCACAGCTACGTGGAGCATGTTGATCCTTGAGCATTTTGAATGCATGCTCAAGCAGAAATAATGTGAAGATGTTGCTTTTGAGGATCTGAACTGCAAATACTTGAATGTTTCTAGCATATTTGCAAGATTGGAGTGCATGAAAGCACCTCATTTGCAAACTGATGGTGCAGCATTGTAAACCATACTTCCTCTCTGAATCCTCGTACATACGGCTCTCATGCTTGAAACAACGAGTAAGAGAGCAGAAAAGGTGTATTCATCTTTTTCAATGTATTCTAAAGACATCTTCATTCCTAGACAGCTTTCTCTGGCATGCAGTCATGTAAGAGAAGCGGAATTCAAAACTTTCTTTCAAAGTCAGTGACTAAGAAAAGGTCTTAGTCTATCTACATGGATACATTAGACGATTAAATTCTCATCCACATTCAAGCAGCAATAGATTCGAAGCCTCTCACCATGATGACTTGTCGTTGCATGCGGGTGAAGGATCAATCAGCCATCTCTTGCTTGCCCAGGGAGGGGGGATTTGGGGAAAGGAGAGTGGAGATAGTACCCTACCCCCTATTTCCCAATTTCAAACTCTTGAATCAAAGGGTAGATTTGTATTCTTTGCTAGCTACCCACCCCGCCTTTCGTAAAGGTGATGAAGGGGAACCGGGGGTATTGGCGTGGTGAGCTCCAACGGCAATCGAAATGCCTTCTTTTCCATTAGCACCCCCACGTACCGTGATACAGTGAAATGCACGGGTATGAGAGAATCTTTCGGTCCTCTACCCCTCCAGACAAAGGAAGTCACTAGGGTGGAGGCTGATTCGAGACGCCTGTCGAAACCACTTTAAAAGAATAGTACAGACTGTACCAGAGGCACTTCATCCGTACATAGATGTGTACGATTGAAGCGCTGACTAAACAATTAAAATGAAGTGCTTCAAAAAGTAAGGCGGGGGACAGGGTACCACGCCAGTATAATTCAAATCACCCCACCCTACTTTATCCCTGTCTCACTACCCCCCAGTAAGAGAGCAAAAACGGGGGTAGCTGAATGGAAGTGTATATATGAACCCCTTCCCAAGGAGAAAAAAAAAGACCAATTTTGCTAGAGCCTGCATATGGCCTTGTGAACGGCATGTTCTACCCCACACGTTTGCATACATCGACGACATCGTCATCGCTACGTACTCCACCTGGGAAGCTCATACAGATCACGTTCGCGCCGTGCTTCAACGCTGTCGCGAGCATCAGGTCTTCCTTAAGAGAGAGAAAGCTCAATTCTTTCGCACTAGTGTTGACTTCTTAGGTCACCGTGTCTCCGCTGACGGCGTGACGACCCAACACTCCAAGACGGCGGCTACTATGATCTCCGCGTGGCCGCTACCGACGACTACTAAACAAGTCAAGATGTTTCTTGGACTAGCTTCCTATTATCGAAAGTTCATCCGCAACTTCTCGACAATAGCAGCCCCTCTGACTGACCTTCTCCGCAAGGGCGCTCAGTTTCAGTGGACTGCAGCATGTCAAAGCGCGTTCGACAACCTCAAGCAAGCTCTGACGTCTCAGCCCCTCCTGCATCACTTCGACCCGTCCATTCCGACCGAAGTGCACTGCGACGCGTCCAATGTCGGGATAGGAGGCGTACTTCTACAGCAGCCTCCCAACGCCCCCGCCCGCGTCATCGGATACACAAAAAGACATCAACAGCAGATTGATTCGTTGGCTTCAAACGCTCAGCGAGTTTGCAATCACCGAGTACTGTTACGTCAAAGGTTCTCAGAACGTCGTCCCCGACGCTCTCAGCCGTCAAGATGAAGTTCCTCTCTCGACTGCAGTCGCTCCTCATCACGAGCAACTCTCTCGTCAAGAGGACGGCTTCTTGCTCGCCTTCACCGTCAGCGCCTTGCAGCCTTTGTCGGACCAGATTCAAGCCGCCTACGAGACGTGCGACTTTTGTCGTCCTCTTCTCCAACGTCTCCGCGCCAAGTCTTCCGTAACTTCTTTTCATCTGGATGATGAGCTTCTGTTTTATACAGATTCGCTGCGCCGCATCCGCCTGTGCATTCCGCAAGCATTGCGTCGAGAAGTTCTCTTCCGCGCCCACGACCTTCAGTCCCACCTCGGGTTTTCACGAACCTACCTTCAGCTAGCAGCAACCGTTTATTGGCCCCAGCTTCGGAAAGATACCGAGCTTTACATCCTGTCATGCCAGCATTGTCTTCAAGGGAAATCTTATCGACAACGACCAATGGGTACTCCTCATTCCCACGCCGTTCCCTCGACACGCTTCGAAGTCGTCAGTCTCGACTTGCTGACCGGACTCCCACGAACTCGAGATAAGAACGATGCAATTCTTCTCTTCATTGACGAGTTCACAGGGCGAGTTTATCTCACCCCCTGCCGTAAATCGATTACTTCTGAACAAGCTGCTCAAAAATTCATCGAAACCGTGTTTCGATCCCAAGGCCTTCCTCAGGTCCTTATCAGCGACAACGCTGCCATCTTTTCGTCCAGATTCTGGAATGCGCTCTTCAAGATGCTCAACGTTCACGTGAAGCATTCGTCGCCTTTTATGCCTCAAAGCAACGGTCGACCCGAGCGTATGAACTCCGTCGTCCTCGAAGCTCTGCGTATCTACACCACGCAGTATCCTCGAGCCGATTGGGATAGGTACCTCCCCATCCTGGAGACTCACCTAAACTCAGCTGTTCGCCGCCCCATCGGTGCCAGCCCTTTCGAAGTCATGTTCGGCAAACCTATCAGGACACAACTCTCTCTGCCCTCACCTGACGATCATCAGGACGAGACCCTCGACTCCATTCGTGAAGCAACCGAAGTCAGCGCCGAAGCTGCCCGAGCTGCTCTCGAAGCTGCAGCGCGAGCCACCGAAGCTCGCCTTGCGCAGGCCCGTCGTCCCTGCCGCTATCAAGTTGGAGATCTGGTTTGGCTCTCTACCGCCAACCTCAACATCCCCGACGCCGCCTCGAAGCTCAACCCTCGCTTCGTTGGTCCCTTCCGCATCCTGGAATTTGTTTCAGACAACACCGTTCGTCTCGACGTCCGAGTCTCCTCGCTTCGCATCGATCAGAAACACCGTCATCAACATCAAGTGGCTTCGTCCGCATACAGAGCGCGACCCTGCCTATCAAGATCCCCACCGACCACCCGAACCTCTGGCCACCAGAGACGGCTTGGAATACGAGATCGAGAGCATCCTCAGCAAACGTCGTCGCGGTCGAGGTATTCAGTACCTTGTTAAGTGGACAGGCTATGATCAAGTCAGTGAGAACAATTGGCTCCCTGCTCGTGAGTTGCAAAAGAAATCAGGTCTTCGCGACCTCATCCGTCAATTTGAACAACGTGCAGCTCTTCAAGCTTTACCCTCCAACGCCTTGGACTCCTCCGACTCGTCTGAAGTGGAACTTTGAATCCTGTCGTTCATCTCCTCATGGTAAGAGCGAAGGACAAGTTGGAACTAAGTTGTCAAGCGCAGATGGAGCGATGTTGTATCCATGAGGATCCGGAACCACGGATATTCGTCGGATACTCTGCCGGATATTCCCTATATAGGCGGACGCATCTCGTGCGGACGGCCTCCTGAATTTCCCCCACTTGCATGCACAGTGAGTGTGGTGGTTGTGCGTAGTTTACCTCCCAGTAAACTTAGAGACTTCTATTTCCTGCTTCTCAATCTTCTTCATCCTTACTTTTCTCGTGTCGTTGACAATCTCTGTGTTGTGTATACAACAGTGCTCAGGAATTTCAAACCGCCATTCTCGTCGATGTGCCTGGACTCTGGATGCAAATCTGTTACATACTCCATTGTTCAAAGAAGCCTTGAATGTTCCCTTGAAAGATTGTCCTTTTAGCCTGGGGCCTGCTCGAGGATCCATCTACCTCGAAGGCCCTCTCCAAATTTTCATGCCAATTCAAAATCCGCGTTCGGCATGTGCAACAGCGATCACCTTCAAGTTCACAAAAATTGTAAGGTTATCCTTCACCAAGGCGCTAATGTGGAATTTCCCTCCCTCGGAACACGACTAAGCAACAAGGCAGACAAGGCCAAAGTTTTATTCTTCCAAATTTCTTAACTCTGCGTTGTGAACTGTTGTGATGGTAAAAGTATTCAGACAGAGAAGTAAAAATTTTATTCATCCAAACTTCTTCTTAACGCTGCTAAATCAACGTTCTGAACTGTGTGCTGAAATAGAGCTTCAACAGGTGCTCATTTTAAAAAAGGATAATTCAACAATCATCCGTCATCACGGTGATATCTTTAGTCAGGTTAAGTTAAATTTCGTACGAGTATAATCAACCCGGCTTGACCCTGTCGGACACTCGAGAGAGGTCTGGAAGCTCTGAATCCGTAGGTACTAAAGGTTTACTTAACTTGGTCCACTATGTCACTACTATTCTCAGGGCCTGAATAGCGTTTTTGAATAGTTAAATCGCAACGTTTCGATATCTCGGTAAAAGCCGACGAGCGGCGCCCTGGCAGGGCGTTCCACATAGCGTACACTGCATGGCGTGCGCAGCCTCGTCCGACTTCCTTCTCGTGTACCTCTTTCTCTCCATCTGACTGACAACATAACATCAACTATCATCCTGAGACAGCAAGATTGTGTTACTGAAAGCTTTCCTGTTGTGCTGAACGAGGACAACAATGATAACGAACCCAAATGTAATTAATTGTTCAACACATGTACGTATGATTAACATACATGTTGTATACACAACCTTGCGTAAGACGTTGAGTTCAGATGATCTTAGGATCTCTGTTTATTAAGCACACACGCTCATCAGATCAGCAGCACCACTGCAGGAATCTGCATCGTCATCCTATTTCCCTACGCTACGTCCAAGGGGCGTCCGGTATGAGTCCAGAATACAACATCGCTCCCACTGCGAGACGACAAGAAGGTCCACCTGTCGTTGACTTCGCTCAGAAGAATCTTGAGTTAAGGATCTGCAGAAGAAGAGGAAGAAGAGCGGCGGGAAGGTGACGCTTGAGCTAATAAAGAAGATTCAAATTGTTGAATTAAAGCACGAATACCAGATTTCTTGTTGAGTTCAGAAGCTGATTTCCAGGAGTGATCAGCTGGGTTAGGATAGCCTTTCCAATGAACAAGATATTGGATACCACGACCACGAGAAGCTGAGAGCCCAAGAAGAAAGCGACGGTAATAGCCGGAGAGCCCAAGAAATATTTTGATCTCCTTTGCGTTGCTGGGTGGCGGCCAGTCAAGGATCGCACTGGTCTTGCTGGATTGAGTCGATATGCATGCCGCTGGAGGGGCAGAGGCTGGCGGTTCACATCAAGGTGCTCAACAGCACGGTGCCGGTGACGATGACCGAGGTGGAGGTGCTGCGGGTGAAGCGGAAGAGGATGTGGGGGTTCATTTAGGGCTGGGCTTCATTTGGGGCTTTGGGCAGACGACATCTCAGTCACCATCTCCTTCCTTCGGAATGAAGAAGCCATCGCACTCTGGCAAGGCAGCAGAGAGTACAGCATCGACGGGCGAATTTTCAGAGCAACTGAAGTCAGCATTGCACACGACCGGTCGTTCAAGCTCCGAGCCAAGCGAGGACCTTGGGGCAAGGGAGGGAGCCTTGCCGAGCTATCGCAGCTCCTAGCTCTTGGAGGAATGTCGACGGCGGACATAGCTCGGATCTATCAATTCCAACTGATCTCGCAATGTCTCGCCGCAGCAGAGGTACAACCGCTGGCGGGCATGCTCGTGCAGGGTGCTGGGCAGAGAGGTCGCAAGGGGCCGAGCCCGAAGACGTATGTTGCTGTTGGAGCAAGCACCGGAGCTCTGCAGCAGAGAGAGCTCGAGTGGGTACTATCCTGCCCATCGACGGCCAGCTGCGAGCAGACGTTGGCCTCGTTCAGAGAGAGCGAGGCGATGGAGGGGGTGCACCTGACTCTCGTCAGCGACGACGCCAAGCTCAGAGAGACGTTTGCAGTCGAGCTCACAGCAGACACCTTCGTGCCGAGAGGAAAGATTGCCAAGCAGAGGAAGGTACTTCGCGACAGGGAGCAGGCTCCAAGCGGCAGTTTCAGGGTGCAGATCAAGTCGAAGTCAAGCATGAGCACAGGCCGCTTCTCGAGGAAGGAGATGGAAGCACTGTGCGGAGGAGGTAACACATCGACCACGCGAGTCAAGCGAGCCATGTTGGAATTAGCAAGAAGAATGAACCTGAAGCTTGCCAGCATTGAGGTTCAAGAAGATCGAGACACGCTGAGCTGGGATGGGAGCCTGATAACTCTCTCCCTGGCGACCAAGGCAGAGGCTCGACGTCTGATGGAAGACATCCCCTTCTACTTGGAAGGGGTCCTGGAAGTCAAGCTCGAAGCTGTGGGTTTCAAGTGGAGCTCTCAGGATGAAGAGGAGAGCGAGGAGCAGGCTCAGGAGCCCCAAGGGCAGCAGCAAGGCGCTGGATGGCTGGAGCTCAGCGACATCGACAGGATTACTCTGGAGGCGGCCTCGCCGTCAGGACCAGTCGACCAGCAGGTCTTGGTCGACCTCTCGACGATGCTCCTGGAGACGTCAGAGGAGATCCCGCTGGAGCTAGACAAGAGTGTCGGCAAGCTGCATGACACCTTCTACTCGCCGGGCAACGTCGAGTTTACGACGCTCGGAGCTTGGGCAGCCACGCCGTCGTTGGGATCGAAGCGCAACATGTTGAAGGAAAAGCTGAGAGCGTACCTGGGCAAGCAGCGCTGGACTCAGGTACAGGGGAACAAGAAGCAGAAACAGGCAGCGAGGAGGGGCAGCGCTTTCTCTCCAAGAGCAGCAGCAACTGATGCGCTTGAGCAGGAGGCTGAGAGCGATGACATCGAGAGTCGATCTGTGAGCCTCTTGTTTCTTGCGATCAGTAAATTTGCTGAAAACCAAGGCCTGAAATGCACGGGCAAGGTCGACAAGCGAGACCGACTGCGGCTGATGCTGAAGGAAGAAGTCGACATGGAAGCTGAGGAGGGCGAGGGCGTGGAGGAGGAGGCTGGCGCAGGCCTCTCGCGCGCTTGAGTCTTAGAGGTGGACAAGAGGCGGAGCGGAGCTGTGGGCCCCAAGGGGGGAAGGAGGAAGAAATAAATGAGGTGGACACGGGGCAAGCAACGAAGGTAAGGCAGGTAAGCCGGTGGGGGAGGGGGGAGGGGGGGGCGGGGGGGGAGGAGGCCGGGCGGCGACCGGCCGGGCTTTCGGGCCCGGTCCGGACCGAGGCCCGGCCCGGGGGAAGGGACGTGAGTCCCAGGGACTCATCCACAACCCACTGCCACCTCACCCATCATCCACTCACCGGCCGAAGGCCGGCCGGAGCACCAACGAGTGCCGAGGCCGGGGAAGCAACACAAGTTAAGCAAGGTTGACCCATGCCAAGGCCGGCGGACGCAACTCCACTGGCTGAGGCTGGAGAAGACCATCAAGTACATCGGAGGAGAGAGCAGAGCAGAAGCACGGCTGCCATAAGGGCCAGCCAAGTCGGGCCGAACTGCCAGGTCACGAGATCCCTGTTAGACTAGAAAAAGGCAAGGTGATACCAAACCTTGAGATCCTTCCTAGCATTCTAATAAACTCAACTACTACTACTACTACTACTAGGGTTTCGGTTATTTCAGGCACCATGGCTGCACGCGTGGTGTAGGGGAAGCTGCCAGGGCGCCAAGGAAGCTGCAAGCGAGAGGTTTGTATACTTCAAATAGCTTTCTAAGTATGGTTCTTCAGTATGATGAAAATGTTCGCAACCTGCTGTATCGGAGATCATGCCAATACACGCAGAGCGGACTTGTGGATGCCTCTGTCCTCGAAGCTGATCTCGTCGAGAGGGTGAAGAGCTTCGCGAAGCGTTATCCGAACAGCAGGACAGCCCAGGCTTGCAAGGCTGTGGAGGGATGCACCCCCGACGCTATCGCAGAAGCCATCCGCTCGACATGTCAGCAGGAAGCTGCATCTTCGATGACTGCTGACAGCTCGCTGACGAGCTGCATGTCCTCTTGGCTTGACGGAGATGCTGCCTCCATTGTGATCCTCTCCAGGTCTGTAAACTCCAGCCTCTCTCCCTCGCTCTCCTCCTGTCGCTGCGCTGCGTCGCTGGTGCCCCGCTGACCAGCCGCCTCAGAGTCAGGCTCCTTGTCGAAGCCGACTGCTTCGAGCTTGGTTGCTGCGCCTTCGAGATAGAAGGGCAGCTCCTTCATCATGCATCGAGCATCCTCCGTGGAGCCGAGGAGGATGCATAGCTTGGACCCGTTCCAGGACTTGGTGTTCAAATCCTCCTCCATGTCGATGCCTTCAACGTTGATCTCGAGCCTGTTAGCGATCTCCAACAAGACTCTCTTGACTCTTGCGATAGACGTGTTGCCGCCGTTGCACAGCCCCTCCATCTCCTTCCTCGTGAAGCGACCAGATGCCGCCGTCGACTTGATGATGATCTTGATCTCCTTGCCGTCCTTGCCGCCTGCCTTCTTCTGCATCCTTGATGCCTTCTTCAACTTATTTCTGGACACAAAGCGATCAGCTGTCAACTCGACTGCGAGCGCCTCTCTGATCTTCGGGTCCTCGCTGAACAGAGTCAGGTGTACTCCCTCCATCGCTTCGCTCTCTCGGAAAGCTCGAAATGCTGTATCATTCGCCTCTGGGCAGCTCCGCCGAGACGATCCACTCCACCTCCCTCTGTCTCCAGATGACGTTGGCCCCTACAGCGATGAAGCCTTTCTGACCTAAGCCTTTGTGGACTTGCTGTCCTGGCGCCCCAGCGACCAGCATGCCTGCCAGCGGCTGGAGTTGGACCGCTGCAAGGGACTGGCGCAGCAGCTGATAGCGATAGACGGCAGCTATCTCAGCCGTTGTCATGCCGCCCAAGGTTAGCAGGTGGGTCAGCTCTGCCAAGCTGCCCCCTTTGCCCCAGGGTCCTCTCTTGGCTCGAATCTTGAAAGATCGATCGTGCACGATGCTCACATGTACAGCTGTGAACTTGCGACCATCGATCGCGAAGTCCTCTCTTCCCTGCCAGAGCTTCTCCGCTTGTGCATTGCGAAGGAAGGAAACAGTCACCGGGATCTCCTCAGCACTCGCTATCTCGGGTCTATACGGAGCCTTCCACATGATTGCTTTACTCTCTTGCACTGAGTCTACGATCAGTCCGATCTCTTCGAATTTCTTCTTCAGCTTCTCTTCATGGTTGACATACACCGAGGAGATGCCCAGGAGAGTCATGGAGATGAAGGAAGTCACCTCGTTGCCTGCTGAGGCGGTGTATGTCTCGACCTTCTCCTTCTTGGCTTCTTCAATCTGCTGCATAAACCACTCTCTGGATGCGTCACTCCATCCAGTCATCGCTAACCCGCTACTATTCTCGGGAGAACAATGGTCCCTCTCTGCAGCCCAAATTGGTTTCTAGTTTGCTCGCTGGCATACCTCGTGCCTTGGAGCCATGCTATTTGAAATCTGTCTTCCGCTGGTTCTAAATTTCGGTTTACCTCAACGATTAATGCCTCCATAACGTCCTCAGAGAGAAATCCATCTTCTCCTGAGTTGAGCAGCGCCGCTGCTCCGTACTCTCTATTGTTTTCCCGTAGACTCCAGGGGATCTCCCCTATCAAGTCGAATGTTTGTATTTTTCTGTTTTTTGGATTTTCTTTGTCATTCTTTTTCTCACCTTCTTGTCTCTTTCTGCTTGATTCCACCACGCCCTGGTGCCCACTGTCCCACCTGCCCTCTCCTCCTCCTCCTGCTTCCATTAGGCGTCAAGCGGCGCGGTTGGGGAGGAGTCAAGCGACATCTCTTCCACTTCTACCGCTCTGCTCCCTGCTTCGGGTGCATCTTCCACTCGCGCGTCTTCCATCTGTATCTCACTGCTCAAAACAAGTTTCAATTCGTTTCTGTCTCCCAGCATTCCTACGAGGGAGAGCGCCGTTTCCTGCTCTTGCGTTTCGCTACCTTCCACGTATGCTTGCCTGCAATCACCCTGACTCGTTCACGCAGTCGCTTGCTCACGGCATTCTCTGCCGCGTTGGCACCCTTATCAGCCCACTCTTGTAGCGTGGGGAAGGATGCATTTCCTGGGCTCTCCGGAGCCATCTCTTGCACCGCGTCATCAAGATGGAGTTGAAGCTGCCCTTGCTGTTGCAGCTCGCTCCTAGTTAGGTCAGCAATAGTTTCCTTAAGTTCTTCGACGACCACGTCCGTTCCCGCATCTGGGAGGTTGGTTTCATTGATAATGGAACTGAGCTCGATCTCTGTCCACACAGTTCCCTCTGCTCTGGTCCCCGTCGTTTGTGACCTGGCCTCAGGGTTAGACTGATCGCGAGTTGCCTGAGGCGACACTTTGAGGTTCAGACTGCTCGCTGTCGTTTGGATTTCAACTGTGCCTTGCCAGCAGAGGAGCTGTGTGGGGAATTCAGCCATCATCTTTCTTGCACTACTTTCACTGCGTAGCCGGAGAATGATACCAGACCCATCCCAGATCCCTGTTTCTGGATCGCATTGGAGGTGGATCCGTTGGAGATCTTTTTCCACCTGTGGATCAAAGCAAGCGACAGCCCTCCGAATGTTTCGGATGACTTTTGCTCTGCCCGTTTCGTCACTTGCGCAGATTTTTTCAATCTCATTTCGGGAGAACTTCCCTGACGGCACAGGAGAGGAGATTTGTACCGAGTACAGCATCTCTGCTCCCGTTGCCATTGCCGTGCCCTCTTGTCGCACCGCATTCTTCATATTCTTGTGCAGCGCCGTTGCTTCCATCTGCACTGAGAACCATTTCAGTATTTTGTCATTCTCTGAGACCAGTCCCAAAGTGACTCCTGCACGATCCTTTCCATGTCGATCGAATGCTTGAAGAACGATGTCCGCTGCTTCAAGGCTCGAGCACGTTGCGATCCAGTCGACCTCTCTGTTCTGGTTGACTGTTTCTATTCCTACCGCAGCGAACACCTTCTTTGGCGGTAGGTTCCTCTTGGGGGGGAGGTTCACTGTCATTCCCGCGTTTGGGATCAGATCAATGATCGCTAATCCCTGCTTCAGGCATAGCTGCCTGTAGATCTCACATATGTCACCTGTGCTCGAATCGTTGAGCCTCAGGAGTTGGGCCACCTCAGCTAGGATTCCAACTCTGCCCATGTTCTCCTTCTTTGGCCGCATCTTGAACGAGATCGGTGGGTTGGCTGCTGGGTTCACTGCTAGAATCCTCCTGCCTGCCACCTTGAAGGTACCCTCTCCTTTCCAGAGTTTCTCAGCCGCCTCATTGCGGACAAATGTGATCACTGCTGGGATCTCCGCTGCCTGCACAAGGTCAGGCTTCAAGGGAGCCTTGAAGATCAGGCTCCTGCTATCTTGCGTCTGATCGACGATCAAGCCTTGCTCTTCAAGCTTGAGGCATAAGTTTTCCACCTGTCTGGAAAAGTATGCAGGGATCCCAAGTACCTTCATGGTAATCGTCTGCACATTGGTGCCCTGATCATCATATGATCTGGCCTCCATCTGCCTTTGTCTGTCAGCTTGGAACTCTGACAGGTACCACTGCTTGACATCGTCACCCCACTGCCTGAGCCCTTTCGGATTCTCCAGTGACGAGGGTTCAGCAAAGCTGCATGTCTGACTGATGGCTTCGGCTAAGGCTTCCAAGGATATTTCTTTTGCTTTCAGAGCTTTGCTCGTCCTGCTTTTGGGGTTCTGCCTTGCGAATTCATCCAGTCTCCGCATCAGTTCGGCTGATGACGGCATCGTTGCAGCTTCCGTCTGCCTCTTGAGGTAGCTGGAGGTACGGTACTGCACGATCTCGTCAGGGTTCACAATAGATATTGGCCACATGTTTCGAAGCATTCTCGATGGTTTCCCGAGCTTCCTGCGTTCCTGGCGACTCTTGCTCTACCACGCAGGGATCCCGCTGATCTGCATGCCTCAGATAAAGGGATCCTTCCGATAAAGGGATCCTCTAAACCCTAAACCCTAAACCCTAAACCCTAAACCCTAAACCCTAAACCCTAGTAGTAGTAGTAGTAGTAGTCGATTTTATTAGACTCCTAGTCAAGAGTTTCCTAGCTAAGAACTATTGCTCTTTGCTCATCTCTCGCCTAATGATCCGTCTAAAGGGGTTCCCAACCTTGGGAGGTTGGCCCATTTTCCTATAGGCCCCTTAGGCCTGGTTGCTTCCGTATTACTTGTTTTCAGTAACGATGTCCTCCGGGCCCGTTCCAATTCCGATCCCGGTCCCTTCCTTATTTTCGCTAAGTGTCGTTGCACCTTCCTGCCCCTTCCCCCCCCCAACATGTAGCCCTTCTCTTCTTCCTTTCATGCGGCCCATGACCATGCGCCATGGATGGTTTGCCCATGAGCCGCGCTTGCCCCCATCGGACTACATCGACTCTCTTACCCTTCTTGCCGTCCATAGCGTATGTTGTACCTCCAGCAGTTGCTTGATTGCTTCTGTCTTGATGCCTTCCCATTCCGTGTCCTCAACCCTTAGCCTCCTGAAATTCTCATGCCATTCCCTCTCCATGATCGATCCTTTCACTCCTGCTATGAATGTTGCTTGTTCCACTTCGTGGTCAGGTAGCAAAGCTGTGATTTCTGCTCGTAGGGGGGCATATTTCTCTTCCTTTTCCTGAAATTTCTTCTTCAGGCATTCCAGACTTGTTTGTTCGACTCCGTCATATTCCGATGTCCTTGCAAATTCGATGAGGACAATGCGTTTGATGCTTGCAAAGTAGCAGCAACCGTCTGGTATCCATTGCCCTTCTTGGTGCATGGAAGTCCCCATCGCTTCCATCACGATGCGAATTGGAGTTTCCCACCATGAATTGACCTGTACCCTTTGTTTCCTCCAACTCTGCTGCAGTCTTACCTTGATCTTCTTCATGACTTGATTGTGTGCTTGTTGAATCATATCTTGGAACTGCCTGCACGCAAGCTGCACATGACCCCAGGTTTCTTCTCGGTCTGGGCAGTGAGGACAACATGGTGAGTTGGTCTTCCCCCATTGAAAGAGCTTCTTCCTCGTCGGTGCTGAGAAGGTTATCGCTTGGATAGCTGTTCGCGTAACTGAACCCAGGCTTTGTTTTAGCGCTTTGCCTAAGAGATTTCTTCCCACATGCATTTCGAGCATGAATTTCTCTGTCAAGGTGAGGTCTCCCGCTCGAATCCTTGCCACCATTGTCTGTTGTCTGATAATGTAGTCCCATTTCTTCAAGCGATCGAATCCTGATGTAGGATTTTCTTCTCCTGCAATGATGAATTCCATTGGGCTATCGTAGATTGCTTTCTCCCATCCCGAGGCAACTGTTTGTTTCCCTTGCTTGGCCATTTCCTTTGCCTCTTGAATATGTCTATGAGATTCTTTTGCTAGTTGGAGTCGGATCCTGATTCCCCTTCCTTCGAGTTTCTTCATGCAAGTGAGTAACCGATCATGTAAGTCCTCCAGCAGTTCGTCTTCGTATCGCATGGTATCCATTCGCAACGTATTTGTCGTAAAGCGGTGGAAACGTGTGGACTGGTACATTATTGTGACTTGATTTCCCCTTTTGATCTGTATTCCTTCCTCAAGGACATGTTGCAGAAGTAAGCCAATTGCGATTGTGTTCGCTCGGATGATGCTGCACTTCCCATTGATTTTCATCCCTCCTCCTGACGTCATCTCTTGTTGTTGGAGAACATATCCTATTCGCATGGATCTGTTTTTTCTGCCCTGCATGATGTCTCCTTCAATAGCTGCTGTGAAATGCCTTCCGCCTTGATGATTGCTGCGCGGCTGGATCTGATCCCTTCGTCTGTTACACAGCTCATAGCGTTGTCGCTCTCAACTGACCCCTCTGGTTTCCAATAGTTTTCTGTGGGGGTATCCTTCCACATATGTGAATAGCAAATGGCAGTTGGGGGACCTATTTGAGGGGGTAGGGTACTTCCTGGTAGAAAATATCTGTACCAACGGTACAACTGTGGTGGTACTATATGAAGTACCATAGGAAAACTTGTACCACAACGGCTTATGGTCTACATTTCAAAGTTCAAACATCAATACTTTGGACCCACCTCTTTCCCTGAGCTAGCGGGGTCTAGGACGGGGTCAAATCAACATGGACCCTACCCTCCAAGGTACTTCCTGGATTTGCAATGCGCAGACGTGATGCATCAGCTGCAGGAGAGCTTAGGCGAAGACAAAGAGAGGCAAGAATCCGAGAATCTGCTGATGAGCGCCTTGAAAACAAGCAGCCTCCGCCCCAACTCACGATCCCACTGCAAATATGTCAGACCCAGAGGCCCCATCCTCGAGCTGTGGAGGACTCGGACGATCAGCGGTTTGCTGCAGGGACCGCTGTTATCTTTCGAGATATTGACTCACATGAGCAACTAGGGATCGTCAAGCATGTCAAGGAAGAGACATGTACTATCGTGTGGTTGTATAGGAAAACTTTGCTGCAAAGAGTCAGTCATGAGGGCGGGCTGAACAATTCTCATCAATTTACAAAATATGTGGATGGTCTCGGAGAAAACCAGTGCCTTCAATCTATCTATACTGATGAGGTGCCACATGAAGACATCCTTGAGCACGCTTGTATAGAATTTCCACAATTTTGTGCTCCAGCTACTTTACGGTTGACGCCTCGCACTGGAAACACCTACCAGCGAGAGAATGCAGCAGAAAGAATAGATTCATTTCGTAAAGAATACGATATACCAAGGTCGGGCCAACTTTTCTTCGTCATTGGTTGGATCATGTTTATTGAAAACAATCGGAGGCGAGAATCTGTACGGTGGGGCAATTTCAGACCTTGTCTTGCCTCGGAAGTTTTGCGAACGCCATGTGCGACAACAATCTGGGTATCAATAGAGAGGGAAATGTTTACTTGGCTTGCATACAGATCAGCACTGGGGTATCCTTCCAGCGTGAGAAAACGTGGATTTGAAGTCAAAAATGTCAGCGTGCGACAAATCATTGAGGACTTGCCGCTTGCTTTTCAGAGACAAGTGGAATGCAAGCGTAAGAATGGGCGGCACTATTCCTGGATTTTGCCTGAAACACTTGGGAGGCAGGAGATGTTCAAACGAAACTATCTAGCAATACCAACAATTGATACACCTCTTGTAATTCGCGAGTCAGGTGTTGCCATTTACATCAAATTTCCTATTTTTTTTGTTGTCAAGAGTGAAAGCTTATTCATTGAGGTGATGAAAGTTATTATGATGAATATTACTTCACAAGCTGACATGGACTTCATCCCTTGTAGGTCAACAGACTTGTACTGTTAGGCGCATCAAGAGAAGAAATTTGGACTTATCCTCCTGAATAACTCGGTAGTAGGTTTATAACATAGCTTGTTCAATTTGCACAGCACTTAAGGTCGAGAGCCATGATGCCGACATGTACAGACAGGTTGCATGTTTCCATTCCATTGGGTTCTCGACTGGATTTGTTTGTACCAGGCTAGCCTGTTTGTACCGAGGTATAATTGAGTTTTACCGAGCATTTCCCGTGGGCCGGCAGAGCTCCCTCGACTATCACCTCTACACCACCCGTATGTCTCAGAAGAGATGAAGTCAGGGTAGGTAGTCTGATTTCAGGAGTGGGCGAGAATCATAAAAGTCTTGGGCATTCTGGTAGTGGAATTGACGCTGAAAAGCAATCTCTTCGATTGCCGTTAGGATTCGAACGCGTGGTCAAACAGCACCCACCTGAGCTAGAGTCTTATACTCGAGGGGGGTGGCCGCGATGTGGGTTTGAATCGCCACGCCTTTGACCCCATTATTTCCACTCCAAACCTCCTTTTCGCGTAGGGTGGGTCACACTCTCGAGCGTTGCGAGTTTTACGGTTCGAATTTGACCAAGGTTCACCCTCTACCCCCCAGTCTCTGAATTTCAAATGGGAAAATGATGGGTAGGGGGTCCCCCCATTTGTCTCCACTCCAGCCCCCCCCCTCCCTCGACGAACAAGAGATGGTGAGATTGTCCCATTGACGCGCGTAAGGACGATAATGAACAATGTGAGACTTCGAATCTAACCATGCATTGATATGCAGGAAACGAAGATACGGTTACTTGTCTATTTGTGATGACTTGGTCTCTTCTGTGAAATTCAAGAAGTAGCAAGAGATTTGAACTCAACATCTCTTCCTCAACATAAAGCCAATGCAACATCTCTATCATTACCACGCTGCCTCAAATTGCACTAAGACCACTTAGATCACTTAGCTTAGGCCGAAGATGATGTCAAAGCTGAGCAAAAAATTCAAATTCTTGCACAATGACGATTCATTCAAAATGTTCAAGTGTAATTTCAGAATGGACAGAAGATGGCATAGCAACAGCCGATCTCAGCATGTATTTTGAAACTGTGATGGTAAGCAAAAACATCATACGAAACAGTGTCTACCTTGTGTTTCTCTCTGTCTCATGGTCTACGGTATCCTTCGTGGCACAAACCTACATGGCCAGTGAGTTGCATCGGGAACACTGTAGATGTGCTGATTGGACAATGGCAGGTACATGATATGGTTGGCGATATTCAGAGTTTTAAGAAGATAATCGTTTGTATCAGATGCTTGCTTCAGACGTGTCGATATGAGATTCCTTTCTACGCTGATAATCACGGCAGTGAATCGTATCATCGTGTTACTGCGGCATTGCCGATGATGTTGATGAAGCATCTTTCATGACAACCCGTGCAAATGCTTATTCTCTCTGCAAATCCTTTCTCGCAATTGCTCCAACCATGCAATTTCAGGAAAGTGTCTTGCACACTCCGAGATAGTATTGCATGTTTGACATCTAGGCTGTGATACCAGGGATCAAGCGATATATAGAGTAGGCAAAGGCTGTATCAGTCATG